GCACATAAATTCCTGTGGATGCTGCCCAGGGGGAGTGGTCCCAGCCTGACACCACCTGGAAGGCCCCGGTCAGCTCCTTGTGCATCTAGAACAGGCCACTGAGCCCGACTCCACGCCCTCCTCACGGTGGGCACCCCCAAAGCAACCAGGTGTGGGAGTGATGTTGGTGGGCCCCATGGTGGCTCATGTGAAGCGGGGAGGAGAAAGACAGTCACTTTCTCCCCATCCGCCTCTGCCACCTGGGACCCAGGGTTACTGAGATCTTGTCTCAACTCGAAGAAAGGAATTTCAGGAGTAGACAAGCAGTGAAATTATATAGTTTTTATTTGAAGGTGTTGAAGGGAAGCGGGGGAAGCAACTGGGAGAGAGTGGAGAGTAATGTGCTCAAGAGAGAACCTGGACTTTTCCAAGGGTGGAGAGAACCCCTACACACACCCCAGCATTAGACAAGAAAGCATGAAAGTACATATCCCAAGAGGGGAGATGTGGGTGACACATGTGCTCAGGCAGTGCATGTGCTCGGCCACGTGGGCACAAGCAGCACTTGGGCTCGGGCCTTTGTTCAAGGTGGCCTTTATAGGGTTTCTGCAACCTGCCCCCATGTGGGGCTTGTACTTAGGCCAAATTCTGTTGCTAAGGCGGTCACCATGGGGGTTGGGAGTAGTGATGGTCTTCTTTGAAATTCCTTTCCTGGCCTTTTGTTCCTGCAGAAGCTTCTCTGGGTCTGTTACTGTAGATGGATGAGGGTCTTATCAGGTCTTAGTTCCTGTTTTTTACCTGTTTTCTTCTGAGGGTCTTACCAGCCTCTCAAAGCAACTTTGGGGCTATTTCTTCCCAGAAAATTTTGCCCTTGCCTTGGGAGGGGGCCTGCCCTATACTGCCTACATCATGAGACCGGAAGCGGGTAGTGGCAAAAAGAACGTGGCCAGTCTGGGGCAGAGCGAACAGGGCCATCACCTAGTGGCCGTTGTCAGGACCTGGGGCTTGGAGGAAGCCACCAAGTGTCTCACTGCCTGTCACAGCCTCTGTTCCTGCAACAGCCCTGCTCACCTGCGAAGCAGAAGATCAGAAATCAGGAGGGGATTTTAGAGCTGATCTTCTTTTATTCTTTTTATGTTTGGGCCACACCAAGCAGTGCTCAGGGCTGACTCCTGGCTCTGTACTCAGGCATCTCTCCTGGAAGTGCTCAGGGAACCAGATGGGGTGTCAGGCATCAAGCCCGGGTTGGCTGTGTACAAGGCAAGCCTCTACCCACTGTACCACCTCTCCGGCCCGTGGTCCTGTTTTTCACTAATACTTTTCGGGGTGTGAGTTCTCATTCTGGGGAAGGTTTTGTTTTTCTTACAAAACTTGTGGCTGTGACAGGTGGGGAGGGTGTAGCCGAGAGCACAGGGTAACCCAACTCCCATCCCCCCCAAGACCACTGTGTTCTGTTTCCTCAGGGCCGTGCCCATTGCCCTTCATTCTGTCCCACTGTCCCGTTCTGTTGTCCTGAATTCATTCTTCTGATACTTTGCCATCTGCTCCACTTGTTTTATATTTGTCACTAATGCTTGATAACAGTCACCATATTGTGGTGATTTTCCATTATCTCTCTAGAACTGAGCAAGCTTCTTCCTTGCACAGAGTAGATAACGTTCTGATACACAAGCCCACTCCCTTTCTCTAGACCTCCTAATATCTCACTCTAGGCTCTCTCTCCCCTCAGACAGCCTCATTCTATTGCCAATCTAGTTTTTCAATTCATTTTGGCTATTCATCAATGTATTTCTATCTTTCTGTTACACTGTGTGCAATTAAAACCATCCAATTCTTCCCTTCTTACTTCCCTTCCCATGATCCCCTCAACTTCCTTCCGTTTTGCTGTGAATGGCAAATTCTCTTGTTGATAGCTGAGGCGGGTTGTACTGTATAAACGTACCCAATTCTTCTTTATCCAGTCAATTGTGATGGGGCATTCGATGGCTCCCACGATCTAGCTGTTGTCAATGACACCACAAGGCTGGGGCAGGATGGATCTTCTTGTGCTGAGGGTTCTTAGTCTTCTGCCAGATGCCCCAATAGGGCTGCTGTGTCACGTGCTCACTCCATCCGTGGCTTCTGGAGGACACACACACTTTTTCAGACACAGTGCATCTCTGTACCCAGGTGTAGGAATTATCAAGCCCCTTCACGACTGAGAAAGCCCAAGTCTGGGGTCTCAATGTCACCTCAAGGTCACACCACCTGACAGAGCCCAGATGGAGACCCCTCTCTGGCATCCCAGCCCAAAGAGTGCAGCTTCTTGGGATAACTTTGAATTAGGACCCTGTGTGGGGTCCCCAAACTGAGTGTGGGGATCATTTTCACATCAGCTTAATGATTAATTAGCAAGGCAGGTTTGGTTTGTAGACCTATAAACCCAGGTCACATAAAAATTCCTCAGGCAAGAGGGTGTTGGGTAGACAGATGAAGCAGGTCTGAACGGGGGGCCATCACGGCTGAGGGGCTTCTCAGAGCCAGACCCCATGGATACACAGCCAGCATGTCACCTCTCAGCTGCTGGGCACCTTCTGGCAGACATGGCAGAGCAACTTTGCAGGTAGGTGGGGCCTGGCTTTTCCAATCCAAACCCTACTGGCTGGGTTCTCCCAGAGTGCCCTGCACAGTGCTCTGGGAGCCTGTCCAGCGAGCATCCCCACTGGACAGGGGGCCCTGCAGGCAAAGTCCTTGTGGAAATGTCTCAAGCAGCAGCCTAGAGCCAGCCTCCTCTGACCCCACTCTGGCTCACAGACCCTCCTTCTTCTCCTGAATGGAAAGAGCAGTGCGGCGCTGACCCCAGGTCACTCCCACAGTTGAGCAACCAGAAATCGCAGCGTCTAGACAGCCAGATTTTACAGGGCCAATGAAAGTCTGCCAGTCAGAAACAGGCGTGCTCCATCAGGGCTATATTTAGAAGCAGTCGTTATCTGGTCCCCGGGGCAGAAACCTCACCTCTTGCTTCATAGACTCTTAATTTCAAACAGAGCTCTATTAACGGCTGCCTCAGACCTCCGTTCTTTTCCTGAGGAGACCCCGGGAGACCCTGAAGCCTTGTGTAGCCTGAACCTCAGGGCCAACCCCTCTCACCTTAATAAATCAAACCCCCTGTGATTGTGACCCCCTCAGGCCTCAGGTTTAAGGCCCTGGGAGCCCCGGCCCTTCCCCTTACGGCCCAGGCATCACTGGGAGACACTCAAGTCAGTACCACCCACACAGGAAGCGGACAGCCACCTCACTCCCAAGGCCTAGAAGGTCCAGATTTGTCCAAGGTGGACGATCTGGCAGAGTGGGCAGCAGGAAGGGGCAGAGCCAAGAAGGCTGACGTCAGGACTTCCCTTGAGCCCTGAGGAAGGCGGCCTCCCTGGCCTTTCCCTCCAGACCCTGCAGACCCTGGAGGCAACCTGGGGACTGGCAGGCTGATGTGGATTCTCTGCTGCTCTGGGGGTGCCCTCACTGCAGGCTCCCAGGCCCACGGGGAGCTCAACCAGATGGAAAGCCTGGTGGGCCCCGTTTCTCCGGGAGTGTGTGTCTGAAGGAGAAGTGGGTATCAAACCCAGCATAGGGCTGGCTCACACAACAGACTCCCGTGTCCACAGGCCAGGAAGTCCAATCAAGGTGTGGGTCCACCCACCCTCCTGGCACCTGAGGTCCCAGGGAAGAGTGTGTGTGTGTGTGTGTGTGTGTGTGTGTGTGTGTGTGTGTGTGTGTGTGTCTGCATTGTGGACCCCAACGGCACCTTCTGACCTTTTCTCCTAGGTCTTCCTCGTGGCCTCACTCTGAATCCAGAGCTCTCTCCTGAATTTCCACAAAGACCCTTTCCCCCCCCCAAAATAAAAAGGCCACAAAAGCACAGCCAGGTGACCCCACTGGCTGTCTTGCTTACTCTGAGCACAGATCTCAGTGCTCAGGGGGCAGCTGTGGCCACTAAGGGTCATGCCCCAGGCTAGATCACAAACACTGGCATGAAAGGGCTGCACAAGGCCCCTGCAGACCAGGCAGCCCGAGTGTTTTGGTCTGGATGACCTCTGTGGTCATCCTTCCTCCGTGGTCTTCCTCCCATCACCTGACTCTTCATTGCTGTTGTTTCCCAAATTTTATCTTATGAAAGTATGGTGACTTACAAAGTCCTTCATAGTTGGGATTTTTACATGCAATCACCAATCCTGCCCCCAGTGTTGACTTCCGGTTCCCTCCCATCCCCTACCCTTCTGCCTGCCCTCCTGACAGGAACCTTTCTCAGCTTCATTGTTAAAGTTCGGGTCTCTTTATTTCAGTGTTGTTAACTCTGTGTCTGGATATTCGGCTCTATCGTCTCCTAACACCTTTGTCCCTGACTCCCTGACCCCATTGCTTCTCTTCTATCTCTCCTCCCCTCCCCTCCACTCTTACCTTCCTTCTCCTCCCTATCCTCTGGGACCAGAGTGGATCTGGGCATCCACCCTTTAAACCATTGCATCCCCTCATCCAGTTACTCTAAATACCACATCCTGCCTGGCTCTGCACTCAGGAATTACCCCTGGTGGTGTTCAGGGAACCATATGGGATGCTGGGAATCGAACCCTGGTCAGCCGTGTGCAAGGCAAACACCCTACCCCCTGTGCTATTGCTCCAGCCCCATTCTCTGGCTTTCTTCACTTAACATGATATCTTCCATGTTGCGCTAATTGCACAATTTCATCATTCATGGCAGTTGCATAGTATTCCAGTGTGAATATATGCCAATCCTCATGTTCCACTGAGCTGTCCATAACTTAATTCTTATTCCTCCTCAAAAGCCCAGCTCAAGCACCACCTCCTCCAGGAAGCTCACCCTGCCCCTTCCCCCCAGGCAGCCTCATCCTCTGTGGCCAGATCTGTGTGCTTCTCTCATCTCCACAAGAGCTTGGAGAAGACCCCTGCCCTCTGCCTGCAGCATCCCACCCTGGTGGGAGGCACCCCCCCCATCCCGGCATCCTTACCCACCTTCTTATCTTCCCCAGGCTGGTGGTGGGTGCACCGCTGGAAACCAATGGCCACCAGAAGACGGGAGACGTGTACAAGTGTCCAGTGGCCCATGGAAACTGCACCAAGCTCAACCTGGGTAAGGAGTACTGGCCAGGGACAGGGACTCGGAGAACCCCAACCTCCCAGAGCCCCGCGGGGGCCCAACTGCACCACTGCCCCCATCGTACAGGGAAGGACATCAAGAGAACAGCACAGGCAGGGGTGAGGGCAGCTGCCCAGCTGTTGGGTGAAAGGCCCGGGGCTCCAACTCAGGTGTCTGCTCTCCACCCTCCCTAACCCTCCCAGAGAGAAGACTGGGCCTGGTGGGAGTGCATGCAGGCCCTGAGGCCTTCTAGGAGGCGGTGTACCACCCACTTGAGTACCCGCCCACCGACTAACACACATCCCCTCCCCCAGCACACTCCTACATTGTGCTAGAGGGCAGTGGGGGTCAGGCATCGCCTTATGATCAGAAGGAAGCAACAGTTCCATCTGGGGCCAGAGAGATTGTGGATGGGGGGACTGAGCTAACCTTACATGTGGCCAACCCAGCATCACATAAGGTGCCCGAGCCCCACCAGGAGTGGTCCCTGAGCACAGAGTCAGGAGTAAGCCCTGAATACCACTGGGTGTGAGTACCAAGCACAGAGCCAGGAGTTAAGCCTTGAGCACTGCCAGGTGTACCCTTCCCCAATAAATAAATAAATAAATAAATAAATAAAGCTCCATTTGGGCTATGAAGCCTTGAGTTCTGGCCCTGCAGTATCTGTCTCACATCCCCAGGGGCCGGAAGCCTGGTGTGTGACGGGCAGGCCTAAAGCGAGAGGGCAAAGGGTCAGGGGGAGGGGCAGGAGGGGGCAGGGAGGAACCTGCTGCAGGGTAGCAGGGGCCAGGTCTTGGGGGGGGGGGGGGTTGAGCTGGCAAGAGGGGCCACAGAAGGATGAACGGGGGTGGGTGGGTCTCTCTCTCCATCTCTCCCTCTCTCCCTCCCTCCCTCTCTCACTCTGGTTCCCACCACAGCAGGTGGACACCCAGAGATGCCTTCAGAGCCCAGGAGCATAACTGGGGAAGGCTGAGGCATCAGAGGCTCTGAGTTCAGGGCTGCCCAGCCACAGAGCCTCTCCAGCCAGCCCGACTGGGGGTCCTTCCGCAGGGAACCTGAGTCCCAGTTTCCTCCAGCCTGCCCAGGCACTGAGCCCCGCCTGGATGCGTGTTCTCACCCTTCTGTCCAGGGAAGGCCAATGGGGACCCCAGACCCCCAGCAAGAGCAGGGTCTGCGGGGAGGGGTGCTGCTGAGTGAGGAGAGGCTTGTGTGTGCACGAGAGAGGGACGGGACAGGCCATGGTGCCCCCCCATGAGAGAGTGCCAGGCTGGGCTGTGTGGCCCGCCCTGTCTCAAGCCTGCAGGGGGCAGGAGCGGGCACCACCTTACCTGGAGGTTAGAGTCGCCAGGCAAAGGAGGCAAGGGATTTATCCGGGAGGGGAGAGCAGGTTCCTTAACTGGGGGTGGGCAGGAAGGCCTGGTGGGAGGCCCAGCCCTGCCTCGGGCACCCCTCCCGAGCCTCAGCACCCCCAAGCACCACAGAACCTAAGGGGGACCCAGCCACCTCTGAAACTGCCCCAGAGGGGTGGATTTCAGGAGCTTTACTAAAAACAGGGGAGGCCAGGGAACCCCCCAGCCCACCAGCAAACCCGCCTCTGAGGCCTGACCTCTGACGTGGCCAGCCCTGCCCCCTCCTAGCTGTGACAAGTGCAGACGCAGGTGGTGAGGTGAATGGGGGAGGCTCCCTGCTCAGTGCTCAGTTCTCACAACCAGACGCCCGGCAGAGGAGACGGGATACTGGGTTTAAGGAACTGAACACACTGCTGACTCTCCCTGCTCCAGGCAGGGGATCCAGGCTCAAACCTTTCCTTCTTCACTGATGGAATGATCTAGAAAACCTTGTTCATTGTGCTCTATGGGGGGTGGAGGATCTGGATCACACTCAGGGCTTCCTCCTCTTGGCCCTGCGCCCAGTGCTCACTCCTGTGGTGCTTGGGGGACCCACTGCCCAGCCCGCTGTGAGCCCCGAATCAGCTATCGCATCTGAGCTGGTGCTGGGTCTGCTATTCACTGGCTCCCAGGAGGGAATCACACATAGGTGGTTGAAGTGGGGGAAGGGAAGAATGGGCCTGAAAGCACAGAAGTCTGAGCTGCCACATCCCCATCCCAAGTGGGTTTGGAGCAAATGTGGAGGTGGGGCAGTGGGGGTCTGCACTGAAGAGGCTAAGGTGGGAGTCACTTGGAAAAGGTTTGGTCCAATTTGAGAGCTGGGCGGAAAGGCGGAAGACCCTATTGTGCATTTGCGGTGTGACCTTGGACAGATTGCTTGGCTTCTCTGAGATTTCATTTCTCCCACACTTTGGAGGCTGTTTTTCTATTTGTTTGGCTGGTTGGTTGGTTGGGGTTTTTTTGTTTTGGTTTTGGTTTTGGGGTTGGTTTTTTTTTTTTTTTTTGGTTTTTGGGTCTCACCCGGCAATGCACAGGGGTTACTCCTGGCTCATGCACTCAGGAATTACCCCTGGTGGTGCTCAGGGGACCATATGGGATGCTGGGAATCGAACCCAGGTCGGCCATGTGCAAGGCAAATGCCCTCCCTGCTGTGCTATCGCTCCAGCCCCTCACACAGTGAGTTGTGAGGAATCAGTGAACCATGTCTGGGCTGGGCCTAGGAAACTGTGAGGAGATGCCCCCACATGGGGGAGAGCCAGGCTCCAGGGCAGGGGAGGAGGGAGAAGGGGACTGGGCTCTGCCTGGCGCCAACCCCACCTAACAAAGGCGGGAAACCCTCACAGTGGACTCTCCCCCCTCCCAGGCAGGGTCACGCTGTCCAACGTGTCCGAGCGCAAGGACAACATGCGGCTGGGCCTGAGTCTGGCTACCAACCCCAAAGACAACAGCTTCCTGGTAAGAGCCCGCACCCCCTTGTGGACCCCCTTCCTGCCCCCGACTGGCTCCCTGGGGCACGGGGACAAAGGGGGCAGATGGGACAAATGGGTCTCGGATGCTCACCACGGCAGCCTCCAGGGCTGGGACTGAGCTGTAGGGACGTGGTTCAGTTCAGGATAAAAAGTCCGGTCCCTTAATTCATATACACTTGGAGGCGGGGAGGTGGGACGAGGTCCCAGGCCCCAAGCCTGAAAGGACCTGGAATCAGTTGGGACAACGAGACAACCTGGGGGTTGTGCCTTCACTTTGGCAGCCCACGTCCTGGGCCCGGCTCTGCTCCAGGCCCGGAGGGACAGGATATGCCCGGGAGGTCTCTGGTCCCCACCCAGGGGAACACGTTCAGGTTTGGCACCACGCAGCTACCAGCTGCCCCTCGCTTCAAGGGAAGTGGAGTGCCCCCACTGGGGGTGGGGTCCTCGGAACAGGATCCTTCCAATTCTTCCAACAGCAGCTGAGAGTCAGGGAAAGATTCGCAAAGAAGGTCCGTGTGAAGCTCCGCCCATTTAAAGATGTGGCTCCCATGCCCAGCTTCCTCCCGGAGCCCTCTGGAGTCTGAGAGGCTCTCTGGGGCGCTCAGGCACTAAGAGCAGTGTCCTGCCTAGGATGTCCTGGGCACTTGACCACAGGCAGCCCAGTCTCACTCCCAAACCAAGAACAAAGCAGCAGCCCTGGCCCTATGCACACGTGCATGCACACACACACACACACACACACACACACACACACACATACAGACATGCACACACACACACACGCATGCACGCACATGCACACACACATGCACACATGTGCGCGCGCGCACACACACACATACACACATGCAAGGCTTCCTGCTATTCTCTCCCCAACCCAAGGCACCTCACTTCCTTACTATTTTCATTTCACCTACTTCACAAGTTAGGATAAAGACACCAGAGGGTTTGTGACACAATCTTCAGGGCCTCTGTTGAGAAGGCTAAGTCATTACCTTATAAATCACTGTATCACTGTCATCTTGTTGTTCATCAATTGCCTCAAGCAGGCACCAGTAACGTCTCCTTCGTCCTAGCCCTGAGATTTTAGAAAGTGCCACATTCGAGGCTCTTTCAGGGTCAGGAGAATGAGACCCATCATTGTTACCAGTTTTTGGCATATTGAATACACCACGGGGAGTTTGCCAGACTCTGCCATGCGGGCAGGATACTTTTGGAGCCTGCCAGGTTCTCCAGAGTAAGAACTAGATAATAAGATGTCCACGACTGTGAAAGCAGCCGCGTGCTTCCAGGAGCTGGGTTTTATAGTCTCTGGGTCTAGGCCATCGATGGGATTACACAGAGCCGTGGCAATTGGTGGGTGTAATGCCTACATACTGGAAGATGGGGGATCTGGGTGGAGGAGGCCCAGTCCTGATCCAAGCAGGCTTGGAGATCTAAGCCCCGGGTCCCAATACCTGGGTTCCTCTGCCAGTTCCTTCATGAATGAGGCTTGTCCAAATATGTGGAGAGTGGTCTTAAGCATGGCTGTGGCTGGAACCAGAGGTCTTCAGCTGCCGGGGCTCTTATAAATGGCAACTTTCAAAATCTTATTTATTATCCTATGTATCCATTAGGGCTGGAGCCATAGCACAGCGGTAGGGCGTTTGCCTTGCATGCAGCCAACATGGCTGACCCGAGTTCGATTCCTCCGCCCCTCTCGGAGAGCCTGGCAGGCTACCGAGAGTATCTCGCCTGCACGGCAGAGCCTAGCAAGCTCCCCGTGACGTATTCGATATGCCAGACACAGTAACAACAAAGTCTCCAATGGAGACGTTACTGGGCCCGCTCGAGCAAATCGATGAACAACGGGAGGGCCTTTACCTTTACCTTTATGGCACAGCGGGTAGGGCGTTTGCCTTACAAGCGGCCAACATGGCCGACCCGAGTTCGATTCCTCCGCCCTTCTCGGAGAGCCCGGCAAGCTACCGAGAGTATTCGATATGCCAGACACAGTAACAACAAAGTCTCCAAAGGAGACGTTACTGGGCCCGCTCGAGCAAATCGACGATCAACGGGAGGGCCTTTACCTTTACCTTTATGTATCCATTCAAGCTCCAGTACATCATTTATCTCCTGATCAATTCATTTATTCATTCTTCCATCTATATATTAATCTACTCCCTCATCTTCCCATCTAATCACCCATTTTTCTGCATCTACCTGTCATCCATCCACCATTCATCACCAGTCATTTATCCATCATCATCATCCTCCATCCACCATCTACCACCATCCACCATCCATCACCATCATCAGTTCATCTGTCATTCACCATCACCATCCACCATCTACCATTCACTAGCCATATTCCACCACTCACCATCCCCCATCCACCATCTACCATCCACCATCGTCTATTCACCATCCACCATCCATCATCCATTATCCACCATCCACCATCTACCATTTATCGTTCACCATCCACCATCCATCATCCACCAACTACCATTCACCATCCATTCATCCACTATACACCATCCATCGTCCACCATTCACCATCTATCATATACCATCCACCATTTATCACGCATCATCCATTCATCCACCATTCACCATCCATCATCCACTATCTTTTTATGCATTCATCACCCTTCCAAATACTTGTGCTGGCATCAGAGATCAGTCTTCAGTCACCCTCCTATTTATCCTAACCCTATGTCACAGCAACTTGGACAAAGGACTTGGAGAAAAGAAAATCTTATAAAATAGGAAAAGAAAGGAATGAAGGAAGGAAGGGAGGGAGGGAGGGAGGGAGGGAAGAAAGGAAGGAAGGAAGGAAGGAAGGAAGGAAGGAAGGAAGGAAGGAAGGAAGGAAGGAAGAAAGAAAGGAAGGAGTTCATGATAGAGCGCATGCCTTGCATGTAGAACACATATGTACGTATGAGACCCTGGGTTTTATCTCTGGTACTACCCAATCCCCAAAGTCTGTCACTGTCACTGTCCTCCCGTTGTTCATCAATTTGCTCGAGCAGGCCCAGTAAGACTTGTTGTTACTGTGTTTGGCATATCAAATATATCACGGGTAGCTTGCCAGGCTTTGGCGTGCAGGTGAGATACTCTCTCAGTAGCTTGCCGGGCCTCAAAGTCTATTTTTTAAAAAAGAAAAAAGTGATTTAAAGAAATTTACTCAAAGTAGAATAATTATGCCTATAAATCAAAGGAAATTGCCACCAAATTTTAATCCTGGAAACTCTTGATCTGTGTGTGAGAGGTGAGAGATGGATATCTGTGCTTCGGGAAGAAATCAGAACAAGTGATGTAGCACCCTCCTCTCCCTGGAGAGAGCCCTGGGCACATCCCAGTGCCAGATGCTCATCTGGCAAGGAGCTGCAGGGACTTCTGCACACACAGCTCTCAGGAGACCTGGAGGCTGTCCTGGCAGGCAGGGATAGGGGGACAGGTTGGATACAGAAGAATTATGGTCCTGAGTGATGTGATGTAGGGGACCATTCTTAGAAGCTTTCCCCATTCCAACTTCAAGCCAACTGGTCTCCAGGGCAGCAAGAATTCGATTAACCTATGGAAAGGATCCTCCACACCCCCAATCCAGGCACACAACTCTCAGACACAGTCTGGTCCAGGGCACGCGGCAGGGACTGGCGCTTCCTGGGGACCCCACTCATGGCATACTCTGCTCCCCAGGCCTGCAGCCCACTCTGGTCTCACGAGTGCGGGAGCTCCTACTACACCACGGGCATGTGTTCCAGGGTCAACTCCAACTTCAGGTTCTCCAAGACCGTGGCCCCAGCTCTGCAAAGTAAGTGGATCCAAACCCACACCCTCCGCAGCTAGCCAGGGTTGGCTCCAGCAGCCCATGAACAGTGGCCCTTGTCTGGTTCTCCTAATACCCCGGGGACATGCAGCTGGACCCTGTGAGGATATGGGCACAGGGTTGGAGATGGGCCCAGCAGCAGGGATGCTCGCTGCACAACCTCCCCAAAGAGTGGAAGTAAAGAGAGAGGAAGATTCTGGGTACCATGTACAGGGGTAAGAGGTGCCTGGCACAATTCTGGGGACCCTATTCACATAGACATTGATTTTTTTGCTTTTTGTTGGTTTGGGGTCACAGCCAGTGATGCTCAGGGGTTATTCCTGACTCTGTGATTCGGAGTGATACTCCTGGTGATACTCGGGGGACCCTAGGGGATGCTGGAGATCAAACCCAGGTTGGCTGCCTGCAAAGCAAGTGCCCTCCTCGTTGTACTATCACTCTGGCCCCTGGATGACAATTTGAGCAGCAACTGTTATGCAGTGCCTCGCTCTGAGAGGCAGACCAAGGAGAGCAGGAATATTCTTGAGAAACAGTCTCATCATACGTGTGATTCTGGACATTACAAAGCTCTGCCCAGTTTTCTCAGGGTCTCAAGGAACACAACACCCCCCTCCCCCTCATTCCACCTGCCAAGAAAGTCTGGGGAAATGGTGCTCAGCCCTGGCCTCCAGCAGGCGCAGACAGCTTGGCTCGGGGCCCCACTATTTCCTCTGGGCTGGACGACATCGCTCAGACAGCTGCCGCCCTGTTGATGGGGGGCAAGGGGATTAGCACCTCGAGTGAGAGGAGAGAACTTGCAGCCGCCTTCAGGAGCAGGCACAGATGGAGGCCACAGCTGAGGCGGAAGGAGAAAGCATCCATCGAGCTGGTTCCTCTCTGTGGTGGCTGAGCACCATCCCTCACTGAGCAGCTAGCAGGAAGAGTCCCTTTCCCAAGTTGGTGAGGTAGATTTTCTACACAGTATGAGTATTCTCCAAGAAAAGATAGGCAGATGCCCAGGATGGCACCACACTATAATGTAAAGCAGATTTTTCAAAGTAAGCCCCAATTCAAAGTAAGCCCAATTGCTCACAAACAGAACAAACAGATGTCTTATATTTTTCTCCTTTTTTTTGTTTTCTTTTTTGGGTCAAACCCAGTGATGTACAGGGGTTATTTCTGGTTCATGCACTGAGGAATTACTCCTGGAAGTGCTCTGGGGATCATATGGGATGCTGGGAATCGAACCTAGTTTGGCCGCGTGCAAGGCAAATGCCCTGCCCGCTATGCTATCGCTCCAGCCCCTGTCTTAGATTTTTCAAGAGACGTTTTACACTTGTTAAGTTACCTGGGATTCATTTTATTTCTTTGTTGGTTTGCATTGTTCACTTTCATTCATGTTAGAACTCTAGAGAAACCTCAAAGAAAGAGAATAGAGATGAAGTTCGGCCTGATGATGTCATTGCCATGTTAACAAAAAATACTTTGCTTTAAAAATAGAATAAAAGTAAAAGTAAAAGTAAAATGTATATGCTTAAATTTAAGTATAATCAGGTGTAAAGAAATGTAAATAAATTCTTAATCTTAAAAAATATAGAATAAAGGGGGCTAGAACAATCATACCGCACGGCCAGGCTGCATTTGAGCCCACAGGGGTCCTAGTGCCCACCAGGAATGATCCCTGAGCACAGAGCCAGAAGTATACCCTGAGCATCACCAGCTATGGCCCCCAAACAAATATATAGATAAATAAATAAATAGTTTAAACTAGAATAAAGAGGAGCAATAATATAGCGGGTGATAATAAACCACTGACCTTGGTTGGCTCCTAGCAACCCATTTGGTCCTCTGAGTCTTCCAGGAATAATCCCTTAGTGCAGAGCCAGGAGTAACACGACTATACCTGGCCCCCAAAAAATAAAAATGAAAAAGAATAAAAGTAAGGTCTAAGGGGCCAGAGAGATAACACAGTGAGTAGGGCACTTGCCTTGCACATAACTGACCCAATTCAATCCCCGGCCTCCCAGATTATCCCCCGAGCACTGCCAGCAGTGACCCCTGAGTGCAGAGCCAGGAGTAAGCCCTGAGCACAGCCAGGTTTGACTCAAAGTAAAAGCAAAATTTTAAAAACCACAAAGCTTGGAGCTGGAGTGATAGTACAGCAGGTAAGGCCTTGCGCATGGCTGACCCGTGTTTGATTTGCAGCATCCCATATGGTCCCCTGAGCACCGCCAGGAGTGATTCCTGAGTGCCAAGCCAGGAGTAACCCCCGTGCATCGCCGGATGTGACCCACAAAGCAACAATTTTTTATTATTAAAAGGAACACCTGTAAAGGTGATTAGAGGCTGCCCCCAAAGCCTCCATCCATCTTGGAGAGCCAGGCAAGCTACCGAGAGTATCCCGCCCGCACGGCAGAGCCTGACAAGCTACCTGTGGTGTACTTGATATGTCAAAAACAGTAACAATGAATAGTACTCATTCCCCTAACCCTGAAAGAGCCCCCAATATGTCATGGGGCTACACTTGCACGTGACAGGGACGAATGGAGACATTACTGGGCACGCTCAAGCGAATTGAAAAACAACGGGGTGATAGTGATAGTGATATTAAAAAAACACAAAACAGTGTTCAAGATGTCCTGAGTGCATCTGTGGTCACCTTTGGAAGTGTCACCTTGCTCCTCCTGGTGATCCTCCAGTGTCTGGTGCTGCTTCACAGAAAAGAAAACTGTTGCAGCTAAGGCCACTCATCCAGCTCAAAGCCAGAAGTCAGATATTCCGGGGTCTAGGGCCCTGGGCATTCCACCACTCCATCTTGCTAAAACCATCACACTGATTTATTTGGGCTGAGAGTGGCCACGGCCAGCATGTCAGTTCTAGTAGAACAAGATGGGGAAACACTGGCTATTCGGCAGTGGAAGACTCTGCTGAGGGCAGAGAGGTCCAGCCTAACTAGAGTCTGGTTCTGAGATTCATCAATTCTCGAACACACACGCACACACACACACACACACACACACACACACACACACACACACACGGCAGCCTCCTACTTCCAATGTCCTCTGGACAATCATGAGGAGAATCAGAGACAGGCACTGCTGGCTCCTTAGGAATCTGTGACCACACCCCCACTTTCCAGGGTGCCAGACCTACATGGACATCGTCATCGTCCTGGACGGCTCCAACAGCATCTACCCCTGGGTGGAGGTCCAGCATTTCCTCATCAACATCCTCAAGAAGTTTTACATTGGCCCTGGACAGATCCAGGTGAGCATCTCTGGGACTGCTCTCAGCAACGTCGCCCACACCCCAGTGGGGGGTGATGTTGCCAGGGTGTGTATGTGGGGGGTGGGGGGAATCTCTCATGCACTAACAGGTGTCCCCAGACGGCCGGCCTGGGTCCTGAAGCTAAGGATATCTCCCCAGCCCCCACTGCACTGGCCCATTGAAGCACAGTTTGGAGGCGATCTCCCTTCTCTGATTGGTCTTCTGCATTAAACACACCTAGCTGGAGTGGGGGAGACAGGGGAGACCAGGACACACCCAGCTTTAGAGGAGACCTGGAGGACGCAGCTGACCCTCACCTTCATAGTGCCTCCTGTCCAGAGGGAGGTTTTCTACACATTGCTTTGACCGAAGGAAGATCAAAGAATAGAATTTACCAGGAAGCCAATTTCGAGTCAGTCCAAGAAATTGATCTGTGATGGGAAAGCAGTTTCGGGGCGGGGGGGGGGGGGGGGCGGGAAATAGTGGGTTTAGACTTGCTATCTTTTGAAGTACGGAATTTCCACCTGCCTGGAATGGACCATTCTAGTTGTAAATCCAGCATTAGCAAAATAGGAAGGACTGAATAATCTCACCTAGCCGTAACATTTTTGTTTTCTTTTGTTTGGGGGCCATACCCAGTGATGCTCAGGGGTTATTCCTGGCTCTGTGCTCAGGGATCAGTCCTCGCAGTGCTTGGAGAACCATATGGGGTGCTGGGGATCAAACCCAGGTCCACCACATGCAAGGGAAGCACTGGCCCACTATACTATTGCTCTGGCCTCAACAGTAACATTTTCTCTTTCTCCTCCCACTCTACTCTATTTTGAGGTTACTAATACTGCCAGTATCTTAGCAACGTGGGAGAGAAAAGAACTGCTTTTTCTTGCAAGTTTTAAGGAAACTTCGCTTCTGACAGAGCAATAGTGAAGCTGGGAGGACATTTGCCTTGCACACGGTTGACCAGGGTTCAATCCCTAGCATCCCATATGCTCCTGTGAGCCCCTCAGGAGTAATTTCTGAGCACAGAGCCAGGAGTAAGCCCTGAGCACTACTGGGTGTCACCCCCGAAAGAAGAACCTTAGTCCCAGTGTTTGGTGAGCAGGTCGGAAACCACCACCCATGCTCTTCTGATTATTTGCCTTCAATTCTAGGCTCAGCTTCTGTCTTGTCGAGTGGGTTGGGTCACTCATTAAGTCACCATCTTCTCTCTCTATGCATCTCCCACTTGCCTCACCAGACACCCATTCATTCTCAGATCTTTCCAGAACGAGAATCCCTGCAGGTCCTCTCCCTGAGCAAGTGCTCTGCCCATCTCAGCAACCCAGACAGAGGGTGGGCCCTGGAGCATCTCCAGAGAAAGCCCGAGGTGCTGGGCTCAGGCCAATCTTTCTTCCTCTGACGTGCAGGTTGGTGTGGTCCAGTACGGAGAGGATGCGGTGCACGAGTTCCACCTGGATGACTACAGGTCTGTCAAGGACGTGGTTGAAGCCGCCAGCCACATCGAACAGAGAGGAGGGACAGAGACAAGGACAGCATTTGGCATTGAATTTGCTCGGTAAAAAAAAAAAAAAAAATCAATAATTTTTGGGCCAGAGACCTGAGCACATGCTTTACATACAGGTGCTGTCAATCTCTGCATGTCAATTCCCTGCCCCCCAGAACTCCAGAACTGCCAGGAGTGTCTCTTAAGTGCAGAACAGGAGTGTCCCCTAAGTGCAGAATAAGAGTGATCAGTCCTTGAGCACCCCTGGGTATGCCCCCCCCCCAAAATCATAATTTGAACTTTTAAAATTCTCAGCTGCTGGGGGTCAGAGAGATAGTACAGCAGGTAAGTTCGCCTTGCAACAGCCGAACCCATGTGGTCCCCTGAGCACCTCCAGGAATGATCCCTGAGTACAGAGCCAGGAGTAACCCCTGAGCATCTCCTCATTGCGTCAGTCCCCCAAAAATAATCAGCTACTAATACATTTATGTAACAACGTGCTACACAATTTAGTGCTGAGATAATTTAATGATCTCTCCCAGTTATGGAGGTTGGCTGGCTCCACTGGGGCTCCTCTCGTGGGGTGGAAGTTCGTTGCCTAGAGCTTTGACATCTGAAGGTTCAGGTGGACCGGATATCAGAGTGGCACATCTGTAGGTTGACAGGTGAAGATCGCTATTGGCCAGGAGCTCAGCAAAGGCAAGTAACCTGAACACACACAGGTACCCTTGTGGCTTGGGCTTCTCACAACATGATCCCAAAAGTGAACAGCCCAAGAGCAAAGTGTTCAAGGGACCCAATCCAGGACCTCCCATGAGGCTCCCAGAATCTAACCTCTGTCATGTTCAGCAGCTTAAGCCAGGCACAAGGACAGGCCCAGATTCAGAGGGCAGAGATTTAGATTCTGTCTCTGTAGAGCACGAGCATGCTGAACCAGGTATGTGCGTTGGGGAATGTTGTTGAGGCTGAGTCTGGAAACCACACGGAGTCTGTAAGAAGCACTGGATCTCGTTCCCCAGCACCACGAGGGGTAAAATGGGGGATGGGAGGAGGAGGTCATTGTATCTTCCTGTGAAGTGTTGACCACCAGGAGTCTGAAGAGCATAGTTAAATCTAACAGCAGTGTGGTAGAGTAATAGGATTGGCCCCTTGAAAATCACACCAGAACTCACCTGAGTCAATGCTGCCTACTCATCATCCATACCAACAGTTTCAGCCTCATTCACAGGCACAATCTGGGTTTCATGCATCAGTGATTTTAAAGGAAATTCCTCAACATTTTTCTTTCTTTCTTTCTTTCTTTCTTTTTTTTTTTTTTGCTTTTTTAGGTCACACCTGGCAATGCTCAGGGGTTACCCTGGCTCATATGCTCAGGAATTACTCCTGGAAGTGCTCAGGGGACCATATGGGATGCTGGGAATCGAACTCAGGTTGACTGCATGCAAGGCAAACACGCTAACCGCTGTGCTATCGTTCCAGCCCCCCCACCCAACATCTTTCAAGTAAAGGTCGAACTCCTAAGATGATTATATCTGAGGAGTTTAGATTTTAAACACATACACTTCACACGTAGGGTCTGACCTGCGCTGTGTTCTTGGAGTTTATGGTCCCATTACTTGACCACCCGGTCATAGGGTCAGTCCCAGGGTCTACCCAGGTCCACACTGTAGACTCTAGTAGTAGCATGACTGCATGTGGCCAGATGAAATCTTCCCTGCCTCACTATATGAGCCTTTCCTAAACGAATGTTCCTTCATATGCTCGTACTCAGAAATGAGCTTTTTCACTTTCTGCATCATTGAGATGAGTCCCTGGAATGGGACCCCTTCTTCTCCGACCGAAGCTCTGACTCATGTAGAAAACAGTCCACTGTTTGGATAACACATCCCAGCCCCCTATCCCTAGGTCTGTTCAAAGTGACTCAGTAGACACTGGAACCATCAGTGACTCAGGATCACCCCCGCAACCACCCACTGACATATACAATCTGCACCGTAAGTGGAGTTTTGAAATCCCTACCTGAAAATTATAGCCCTTGCTACACCCCATCCCCAACCCCAGTTTTTTTGTCAACATTGGTTTCTAATTACCATTATAACACTTTAGGAGCACTTTTCAGCAGCTTTTCAAAGGTCATACCACAACCACCAACAACAAAAACTCTCTCTTTGATGGCTTCATCTTCTCTTACAGCCGAGCAGGATTCCACTGTGTTTATGTACCATAGTTCCTTTGCCCAGTCATCTGTTCTTGGGTACTTGGGTTGTTTCCATATTTTGGTTATTGTGAATTGTGCCTCAATGAATGTAGGAATGCAGACGTCTCTTCTACATCATTCTTTGGGCCCTTAGCGCATATTCCAAGGAGTGGGATTTCTGAGTTATAGACAGACCTGAATCCATAAGATATATAGGGGAAAACATAGGTAGAGCTCTCTGTGATATTGAAGGTAGAGGCATCTTTAAGGATGCAATGCCATTGGCCAAGCAAGTGGAAACAGAATACAGACACTCCACAGATTAGACCACTCATCTGCTGTTGGACACTTGGGTTGTTTCAGATCTTGGCTATTGTAGGGGTTGGAGAGATATTATAGCAGGTAGGGCACTTGCCTTACATGAGGCTGGCCCAGGTTTGATCCCCGGCATCCTATATGGTTCTTAAGCACTACCAGGAGTAAGTCCAGAGTGCAGAGCCAAGAGTAACCCCTGAGCATCACTGGATATGGCCCAAAAACTTAAAAAGAAATCTTGGGGGGATGGAGCAATAGCACAGCAAGTAGGGCATTTGCCTTGCATGCAGCCAACCCGGGCTCAATTCCCAGCATCCCATATGGTCCCCTGAGCACCGCCAGGGGTTATTCCTGAGCGCAGAGCCAGGAGTAACCCCTGTGCATCGCCGGGTGTGGCCCAAAAAGCAAAAAAAAAAAAATTAAATTAAATAAAAATTAAAAAATAAAATAAAAAGAAATCTTGGCTATTGTAAATATGGTTGTGATGACCATCAGCATGCCTGTGTCCTTTCAGATTAATGATTTTGTGTTCCTGGGGAGGATGGTAAGGAGTGGAATTGCAAGGTAATACAGAAGCTCTCTTTTTTTCTTCTTTGTGGGGTTTGGTTTTGTTTCTTTTTTTCCCCTTTGGTTGGTTGTTTTTATTTTGAGACATCTCCAAACTTTTTCCAAAGATCCTGGACCAAGCGACAGTTTGAATTTTTCCCACCGCATTTCCATCTTCGTCTTCACTGGAGTTTCTAGACTTTGATACAGACAATTCCTGATGGGGAGGCAATACCTCAGCCTAGTTCTGATTTACATTTCCTGAGGATTAGTGATGACAGACATTTCTGTCATCTGCATGTTGACCATCTTTATTCAACTTTTAAAAAAGTGTCAGTTCATCAGTTATTTCTTTGATGATGTTGTCTTTCTATTCTTGAGCTTTGAGGGTGTTTTATGTATCTTGGACATTAGCTCTTTGTGTGCTGTGTAATGCATAAACACTTCCACTGAGTCAGTGGAGTTATCTTTTTTATATTATGTCTAATTAATTTCACAATGCAAAAGTTTCTAAGTTTGGTATAGTCCCACTGGTTTATTTCTGCTTTGGTCATCATTGAAGGATGATAGCTCTACTACAATCATTAGATCAACTCATCCAGAAGACAACACTGATTAATATGTATATGCCATGCTAATTAGCACAGATGCTCCAAATGAAGGCGCATCAAGATACAGAAAGTCATCTTGAGCAAATCAAACTTAGAACAACGCAATAACAGAAAGGGATGTCAACACCCACTTTCATCAATGAACAGGCCAACCAGACAGAAAGTCAACAAGAAAACAACTCTGAATAAAGAATTAGACCACATAAACTAAGAGGGTTTCCCATCCCCAAACAGCCAAAGAGGTATATTTATGTGGAAGGTCTCAGAAGGAACGATGGAGCCAGGTCACAAATGTGAGTGTACTTTTGGCAGGGCCTGAGAGGAGTAGAGACCTGTACAGATTTTGAGCAAAGAGGACACACGATGTGACTTACTTTCCATTGCTTGCTCTGATGCCAGGATCACAGAACCTGTCATGAGCATAAAGTCCTCACTGTTCTATAAACTGATTTACAAAGGAACCAATCCAAGTACTTCACACACTACAAAATCGCAAGTTAAACTTGGGTGGTTCTTGCCAATATTTGCCCTGTTACACATTCATGCTAATATTTACATTACATGTCGAAATATGATCCTGAAATTTTTCTTGGCTTCATATATAACTAAACCTGTCTTTCCCTCTGCCATACTTTTTTGCATGGCGTTGGTTCCTGGGCCTGGCCCTCCAATGAAATTATAGAAGCATCTAGAATCTCCTTTGAGGGTCTGGCAGAGTTTCTCCCTACCCCACAAGGTTGGGATTCAGCCCAAGACCTGCTCTAGTCAGCCCTGGTGCCTCTCTTCAGCCCATGACTCATGTTAATATTGGGGGGTTTCAATCAGCCTGTCCCAAGCACCAGGGGATTGCTAAGAGAATGGGTCGTGATCTATTCCTCTTTTTCTCCCTGCTTCCCCCTACCAAATGCCTTGGTGCTTGACTCAGTGATGCTAAGGGCTGATGCTCAGCCACCAACATACAGTGTCAGTAGTCAAAATCGGGGCCTTGTGTCACCTAGGCCAAGTACGCGCTCCACTCCTTTGAGCGAAGGTTCCTCTTACTGGGTCTCTCACTAAAGACACTCTGGATTCATTTATTCCACATTCTGTGAATTTCCTGAACCTCTAAGTCTTCTGTGTCGGCTCATTGGTTTCCTGTGCAACAAGCAGTACCTCTGGTAACCAAAGCCCTGGGGTCCAGCGTCAGGTTTTAATCAGGCTTGTGGTACTGAAATCGGGGCGGGGGGAGGAGGGAGAACGGGACTCACCGCAGTTGAAGGGAAACTATTATTTTTAGATCCTTAGTGGAAAATTCCACCTGCTGGGCCAGACTCTTGGGCCAAACTATGTGTCTCCTCAGAACCTCGCGTCTAGAGGAGAGTTGGCCACAGAGTCGCTGAGACTCAGGGGGTTCTGGAAGACAGGCTGACAGCAGCAAGGCCTTAACACAGAAGGGGCGGGGAGGAGCAAGGGGCCCTGCCAGCCCATACCCCCAGGCTGAATTGTCCCACACAAAAGCCAAGCTCAACTTCTAAAAACGAAATAAAAAGTGAGAAAAGAGTGTCAGAGCAGTGGATATTTTATAGTTCCCAAATAGAATCAAAGCACCCACCCAAAATAAACGGAGCTCAGCTAGGCCACTCGCCCTGGCTCTGGGATGCTGCCGTTTTGGACACTGGGTGAGTCTGGCCCTTCAGCTTCCCAGGACTCTGAGGATTTTGAAGAGCAATGAGGTAAGGGCCGCACCTGAGATGCTGCCTTCATGAGATGGGGCACTAGGTCTGCTTTGCTCTTATTCTGTGGGCCATTGACTGGGCCGCTGATGTTTAGGCCACTCTGCATCACTAAAGGTCCCAAGCCCTCCCTGTCCCCTCCAGTTGCCCAAAACAGCAAGGCCAGGAACCCAGAAAGGTTTTGAAAGACCGTTTCTCCCCTTGGGGACTGGAGCGATAGTACAACGGGTAGGGCGTTTGCCTTGCACACGGCTGACCCGGGTTCGATTCCCAGCATCCCATATGGTCCCCCCAAGCACTGCCAGGAGTAATCCCTGTGCATTGCCGGGTGTGACCCAAAAAGCAAAAAAAAAAAATAATCTTTCTCCCCTTGCTAAAAAGTGATTTATTACTTTTGAAGACAGATAAATAGAGATAGATAGATAGATAGATAGATACTCTGTCAAAAACTTTTTGAATTTTTTTGTTTTTTGGAGGCCACAGTTGGCAATGCTCAGGGCTTATTCCTGACTCTTCACTCAGGGATCACTCCTAGCAGGCCCAGGTAGACCCTATGAAGTGCCAGGGATCAAACTGAGATTGGCCTACTGCAAGGCAAACACCCGACCCTCTGTACTATCGTTCTAGTCCAACTTTATCAAATATTTCTAGAACTTTCTTCTGTCAGTGGATCCAGAAGGTCCTATCTTGTTATTTACTTTTGTAAAGAAGCCACCCCCCGGCAGTGCCTGGAACCCAAGGACCTGTAGTCCCATGCAGTCCAGCATGCTGGCCAGTGACTCGGTGCTCAGTGAGCAGTGAGTGCAGTCTGGGGATGGAGGAGGGTGCTTGTGGCTGCCAGGGCCATACCCGGCAGGGTTTATGAGATGGAGAGAAAACTCAGGGCCAGGGGCTTGTCCATGCCAGGCATGCACTCCACTATGGGCCCAGCTCCCAGGTGAAGCAGCTGTTTTGCTGTTTCTGTCCTTTCCTTTCTCCCTATGGAGAAGGGCGCCCCCCACCCCACCTACACTAGCTCCCTGCCCAACTTCTCAAAGGCAATGGGGTTCCGACGCCTTCTGGGCCTCGGTCAGAGGCACTGGGGGTCTCTGGTGCTTCTGCTCTGGGGGGCGTCCCCAATGCCAATGGGGCTGCCTGAGGCCTTGGCACTGGATCGTGGCGGCCCCATGCCCACCTCCCCCTGTGTTCCCCGCCCCTCTTCTCACCCTCCAGCTCAGAGGCCTTCCAGAAGGGCGGAAGGAAAGGAGCCAAGAAGGTGATGATCGTCATCACTGATGGCGAGTCCCACGACAGCCCAGACCTGGAGAAGGTGATCCAGCAAAGTGAGAAGGACAACGTGACCAGATACGCAGTGGCCGTGAGTCCCACCTGCCTCTGACCATTTCCTGCCCTGCCCCCACCCCCACCCCCACTCCCCCATCTCTTCCAGCCCTGGTGTCAGCCCCGCCCTGATACTGAGGCTTTGCCCTCCCTCCATTAAGGATGCGTACCCCAGGGGTCCTCTTCTGGGCAGTGGACAGCTTTTCAGCTCATTCAGTAGGCCTTTCTGTGTTCCATCCTCCGTTAAAGAGTGGAGAATAGGGGCTGGAGTGATAGCACAGCGGGTAGGGCATTTGCCTTGCACGCGGCCGACCCGGGTTCGATTCCCAGCATCCCATATGATCCCCCGAGCACCGCCAGGAGTAATTCCTGAGTGCATGAGCCAGGAGTAACCCCTGTGCAATGCTGGGTATGACCCAAAAAGCAAAAAAAAAAAAAAAAAAAGAGTGGAGAATATTCCTGGCCCTGACAGATTATCCTGTGGAGAGGAAGTTGGGGGGTTCGGGGGACGTGAATTCTCCACTGCCAGGGATACTCTCAGAAAGCTGGAATGTTCCCTGCACTCCCCAACTTCTGAGTCCTCTCAGAACAGAGACCCAATTTGGTCTCTACACCTGATTGTTTCAAAATGTATGGAGGGGCTGGGAGGTATGGGCAATGCACTGACCCCAGGCATACCTATATAGTCAGCCTCCAGGTCACGGGTGCAGCTCTGCACCCTCAGGCCCTTGCACCGAACCGCAATCCTGGCTGGTCCATGAGGCTGCAGGACCCCCTGAGCATCGCTGGGGAGGCAATGTTTTTTGAAGCTATGTGAAGGCCAGAGATGTGACTCGCCTTGCATGTCTGAAGTCCCATGTTCAATCGCCAACACTGGAAAAATAATAGCATGAAAAAAGAATGCACACAGGACCCCAAGGCGTGCTAGGGAAAGCATACCATGGGGCCTGCAGAGGGCGCTGGTGCCCGGCTGTGCTCCAGCCTGCTCTGCGGTCCCTGCCCCGTCCCCTGGCAGGTCCTGGGCTACTACAACCGCAGGGGCATCAATCCGGAAGCATTTCTCAATGAAATCAAGTACATTGCCAGCGACCCCGATGACAAGCACTTCTTCAACGTCACCGATGAGGCGGCTCTGAAGGACATTGTGGATGCCCTGGGGGATAGAATCTTCAGCCTGGAAGGTGGGCACAGGCTGGGAGGGGGGTTTGCCCCAGGCTCACGGTGGGGGGGGGGGGGGGGAGGCCTGGGAGCAAAGTCCACACCCCCAGGTTAGGCTTAGAGGTGTCAGCGCCTGGCCACCAGAATCAATGCTGGAGGGATCAGTCCATCTGGGCGGGTGGCCTTTCAACCCTCCTGACCACTTTGCTGATTTTTCCCTCATCCCACGGTGGAAACACCTGGGAAAGAGCTAAGAGACTCACAAACACTCCATGGCTTGGGAGGGAGGGAGGTGGGGTTTGAACCCGGGTTGCCAGGCTTAGCAGATGTAAAATACAATATTTGTGGCAGACATGTACTCAAACAGTCTTCCCTATTTGTCTGAAATTCACATTGTCCTGGGCCCTCCTGTATTTTGTCTGGCAGCCCCAGCTTGAACCCAGCTGGGCCTGGCTCCGTAGCCTGCAACCGTCCCCCAGGGCTCTGCTCCTCACTCCTTGGAGCTCAGCTGCACGGGGGCTTGCCGGCGTCTCTCGGCTTCACACCAGTCATTTCCAATGCTGGGTTTTGCCAACAAGATAGTCAGAGGGAGAAGGCAGCATGCCAAGCCCTCCAAAATCTGCAGCGCCTTGGAAATGATCATATTTAGGCACTGGAAAAAGGAGCTAGGGAGCCAGAGCTCTGTAAGGAATGGGAAGTATGAAACTAAGCTTAGACACACTGGGACTCCAAATTGGTGTCTTTCTCCTCCAAACAGTGACCTCCAGGAGAAGGACGTTGACTGGTGGGGCTAGAACCATAGTCCGGCAGGGGGGGGCGCTTTGCCTGGCATACGACCAACCTGGGTTCCATGGGTGGTACCATATACAGTCCAACCTAGACACAAGTAACCCCTGAGTACTGCCAGGTGTGGCCTAAAAAAAAAAAAAAAAAAAAAAAAAACACTGGCTAGCTTGAGGTGCCCAGGGGTGGGCGCAAGGCCGCTTCAAGGAAAGGTCACCTGCACACAAACTTGTCCACATCAGCAGGGAGGACAGGGGCACGTTGCATTTGGAAATCATCCAGTGGCATCTAGAGCCAAGTCCGGCCAATAAGCAGAGTCATGCAAAGTGGGAAATTCCATTTCTTGCCAAAAAACGCAAACTGTATCTTTTCCTGGCTTTCCCTGCTCCTGACCGACTGTCCTATGGGCCCAGGCATGACACAGCTGGTACAACCCATCTGCAGGGTGCCCTGGAGACCCTGGCATCCCCCACCGAGGCCACGGTGGGGGGGGGGGGGGGGGGGAGGAAGGGTAGTAACTTCTTGCTGCTGGACCCAGACTCAACGCCCAGCCACCCTGGCGCTGCGCAGAACTGTATGACATTGACCACTGTCTGTCCTGTGTTTCAGGCACCAACAAGAATGAGCCGTCCTTTGGTCTGGAGATGTCACAGACCGGCTTCTCCTCCCACGTGGTAGAGGTGGGTAGGGCTGGAGCCGCGTCCGCGGTGCCAGCCTCGTCTCGGGCCCACTTCTCCCCTTGGTGGGACGCTCCACTTCCGTCTGTAGGACTCTCGAAGGCCTCATCCTGGGTGGAGCATCTGCCCTCCAGAGGTCACCAGGGGCCGGGGGGTTGCTGGAGTGCCAGGACCCGGAGAGTGGGAGGCTATGCAGACACGCCACATGCAGCCCAGCCGGTGGCCCTGTGGGCGTCCACTCTGCATGAACTGGGCGTCACGTCAGAGGTGGGGGGGGGGGGGGCGCGGTGGCCTCCAGCTGCGCCCCCTCTGGGCTTCCCAGTCTCTGGTTTAGCCATGGGGCCTGGGAACCTTGGCGATGGGAAGGGGGAGGGGAGTCGTTGCGGGGGCAGCGCTGAATGGGTGGGCGGGGCATCACCCACAGCTCCTCCCCCAAGATCCCGCCTCTGTATATGCGTGGTCACAGTCCCAGGGGATGGCTCAGCTCCCCAGTGAAGGAGGAAAATGGGGTCATCAGGGCCTGAGCTGGACGCCCACCCTGGGGATGAGCGGGTCCTGCCGGGACCTCACACAGCGGCCAGAGGGGCCACCCCAGGGCAGCCATGGCCTCCTAAGCCCAGCCCTGTGCTGGCAGCATCAGTGACATCCTCCCTCGCCTTGGAGCTCCCCGAACCCCATTTTTCATGCTTGGAGCAGCCCTGCAGAGTTCCAGGTGGAGGGCAGGGGTTGGGTGGTCAGCTTGGCCCAGCACCTGTCTACCTAATGAGGGTGCCCCCCTCCCCCCACCCACCCCCCGGGCAGAGGTGATGGGCCCCAGAGCTCATAGCCCAGATGAATGCCCCCAGTTCTGTGATCAAATCGATCACAGCTGGAGGAAAGTCTTGGCAGGGTTCTCTCTGGCCAGTATTTAGGTGAGGTCCTGGGGGGCCACAGCACCCTCCCATGACCACTCATTCTCATTCAGAGCTCCCAGAAATACTCCAGCATAGGGTGCTGGGTGACAGAGCTCCCTCTGCAGCCATTCCAGTGAGGAACCAGAAATGATTCCTGAAGGGTGAAGAGAAGTTTCTGGAACCCAGACCCTCTGGGTCTGAGCCAGCGAGGTCGAGGAATCAACCAGGAGAATGAGAGGGCTTTAGCCAAGCAAAGTAAGTTTACTGAGAAAGGAACTGGGGCAGACTGGTCCAGAGAAGCCCCAAAAACTCGCTGAGCACAAACTCGAGGTGTCTTTGTGTGTCTCTGGGCTGTGAGGAAGGAGGTTCTGCGCTCAGAGCTGAGTTCACTCTGGGAGGGGCTGACAGGAGAGCAGAGAGTTCTGGAAACTGACAGTGGAGCTGGGCAAAGCCAATGGTGTGGGACTGGAGCAGTAGCACAGCGGGTAGGGCATTTGCCTTGCACGCGGCCAAGCCAGGTTCGATTCCCAGCATCCCATGTGGTCCCCCAAGCACTGCCAGGAGTAATTCCTGAGTGCATGAGCCAGGAGTAACCCCGGTGCATTACCGGGTGTGACCCAAAAAGGAAAAAAAAAAGACAATGGTGTGAGCAGGCATAGCGACTTGTGGTGCTGCGGGAAGAGGCTCAGCTGAATGACCCTGGAAATAGGGCCATTAAGCTTTAAGGGGGTTTCTGCTAGATCCCTTCAATCCCCAGAAATCTAGTTAAAACCCTTGCTTTGCAGGCAGTCGACCCAGATTGAACCCCCAGCACCATAAAGGGTCCCCAGAGCCCCACCAGGAGTGATCCCTGAGAGCAGAGCCAGTAGTCAATTTGGGTCTATCTCGCAAACTGGAAAATTTAAGAAAGTTCCCAACACAAGAAGGCAGGTTCGAAACAGATTTTTGGCAGCTTTGAAATTCGGGCCATGCTGTGGTCCCAGTGTCCTCTGCTGCCCTTGCTAGCAGACAGACCTGCCCAGGGCGGAACACCAAGCTCAGCAGGATTCACACCTCCAGATATCAAACCCTCCATTAGTTTTCTTCATTTTTTATTGCCTCAGCTACGCAGAACGACAGCTTCCGCAGCTCAGAGCCTTAGGGACTCATCAGTAACCTCAGCAATGCCAGGCACAAGCCCAGAAGGACCAAGGGGGAGGGCAGGGACTGAGGGGCCAGGAGGGCAGCGGCACAGTGGGTAGGAGAGGAGGAAATTCTCTAATTTGTCCAGTAACCGCCCAAGGGTTGCCCCAGGAAAAGGGGGCGAGGCAAAGGCAAGGAGGAAGGGAGATGTAAAGAAGGCGTGGTGATGACAAAGGGGTGGGGCGATGGTAAAGGGGAGGGGCGATGGTAAAAGGGCGTGGCGATGATAAAGGGGCGGGGAGATAGTAAAGGGGCGGGGCAATGGTAAAGGGGAGGGGCCGTGGCAAAGGGGTGGGGCGATGGTACAGAGGGGCGGGGCAATGGTACAGAGGGGCAGGCACTTCCTTTGAACATAGCATAAACTCTTGGTACCTCATGTGGTCCCCAAGTCCCACCAGCAGTGATCCCTGAGTGCAGAGCCAGGAGTAAACCCTGAGCACCAACAGGAGTGGCCCAAAAACACACCAAAAAAATTTTAAATATATGAATAAATAAAGAAGAACCATGTCTTGGGAGAGACCTCAAGGTTTTATGTAGACAAAATTCACCCCCAAAAACCTGCTTTCTTCTCTCAAACTGGTGCCGGGAGATTTCTGGGGATCAGTGAGAGGCGCCTGTGGGAAATTCCTCCGGTGTAAGAAGAGAGCCCAGCAGCTCTGTCCTTGCTTTACTGCTTTCCTCTGCATCACCCTCACCCGTCTCAGGAGCCGCCCCTCAGAGCCCACCCCACCTTCGGAGTGGCTGATGCCTTTGCAAGATTCCAGTAGATGAAACTGGAGTGATAGTACAGTGGGTAGGGCATTTGCCTTGCACACGGTGGACCTGGGTTCAATTCCCAGCACAGTCAGGAGTAATTCCTGAGTGCAAAGCCAGGAGTAACCCCTGAGCATCACCGGGTGTGACCCAAAAAGCAAAAAAAGAAAAAGGTTCCAGCAGATTCCTGCTGCCATTTCTTCTTTTCTGTTTTGTTTTGTTCTTGGGGCTGCACTCAGGGCTTACTCCTGACTGTGCTCAGGCATCACTCCTGGTGCTAGGGAACCATGTGCAGTGATGGGGATTGAACCAGCGTCGGCCACATACAAGGCAAGCTCTCAAGCCCGCTATACTGTCTCTCCACCTTGCCCCTCCACCCTAGCCCACCACACACACACTTTTAGGTACATGACTTAGAAAGTTATTGACAATAGTTGACGGCATACAATGTTCCTATTCCAATCCCACCAGTGTCTGAGTCCCTCCACCCCTAACCCGTCACTTCTTGATTACCCATGTAACAGGCAGCTCCAAACCTCCACACAAAGCCAGTACTGGCAGAGGGCACTGCCGCTCTTAGTGACCTCTGTGGCTATTTCCAAATGCTAATGGAAACATTGGCTTCAAAGGCAAGCAAAAATCTGACCACGGATCCATAAGTCTTCCCAGGGGTGATTTTGAGAATGTTCGCTTGTCCCCTTACGCAAATCAAGAATAGAGGCCCCAGAAAGGTTGCTTCCTACCTGGGTTCCTGCAGTGGCCCTGACCGTGTGCCAGGGCTCTGGGGTGCAGTGGTCGGGGCTGCGGCCTCTCCCCCAAAGGCTCTGACCTCTCCTTCCTTGCTGGAGGAGACCAGGGCAGAGCAAGGAGTGAAGAGCAAGACCTCTCCTCTGCCCTACAAGACCCTTCTACTGGTCCCTCCCAGAACCAGGGCCTTTCCTTCCACCATAAGCCCAGTTGTCTGCTTTGTCAATAGATTTTTTTTGGTTGTTTGGTTGTTTGGGAGTCACACCATGTAGTATTCCTGGCTCTGTGCTCGAAAAACACTCCTGGCAGGGCTTGGAGTACCCTAGATGTAATGGAGATCACACTTGTGTCAACTGCATGCAAGGCAAGCATCTTACCCCTGGTACTCCTCTCTCTCTCTCTCTCTCTCTCTCTCTCTCTCTCTCTCTCTCTCTCTCTCTCCTCCCCTGCTCCTACCCAAATGCGGAAATATTTTATTTTTAAGCATTAGTCTCTACATTTCAAATGTCATCATTGTCTCTTGAAAAGTTCTGGCAAATACAGACTTCCAGAAATATGCTTCCTGTCCCCTCAAAACAAGGAGGACTGTATCCCCAGGGTGGGGAGAGGCCCTCTGGGTCTCTTGCACTAAAGAACTAGGAAAAGAGCTGGACTTTCTCTCCAGAGAAGCCAAGTGTGACTGACCCCCACCCAATTAACCAGCTTGGTCCCCTCGCTGTGGCTGAAGAACACGGCTCCTACAAGGCCTCATACTGGGGCTCCAACCACCTCAGGGACTCAGCACAAGAACCCCAAACCCGCCCCCCAAAGCCTCCTCTTCTCTGAAGGTTCTCTTATACCAGTGCACACACAGATCTGAGTAAGAGACCAGAGGCTAGTGGGCGGGCACTTGTCTTGCGCACAGCTGACCAGGGTTCAATCCGCAGAATCCCATATGCTCCCATGAGGACTAACTCCTGAGTGCAGAGCCAGAAGTTAGCCCTGAGCATCCTCGGGTGTGTCCACCCCCCAGAAAAATTTTTGAATCCCCCTCAAAAAAAATAAACAGAAGTTTGAATTTATGATTTAAAACTTCTTCTATGCACACTATATAGGATGAGATGTAAAGTAGAAGGCAACCAATCTTGATTAAGAGAATGTTAACACACAAGGCTTAACCCGTAACAACATGTTAGCAATCTCTTTTACAAGGTGAGATACAATAATCCTCATACACTTTCTTCTACGAAAATGGGTATTTTTTGGGGGGGTCACACCTGGCAATGCACAGGGGTTACTCCTGGCGGTGCTCAGGGGACCATATGGGATGCTGGGAATTGAACCCGGGTTGGCCGCCTGCAAGGCAAACGCCCTACCCACTGTGCTATTTCTCTAGCCCCATAAATGTTTGTTGATCATTTTTAATGAGTTAATCACAACAAGCAATACAAAGGAAATCATTTAGGGCCTGCTATTGGGGCCGTCCTGAATAGTGGTTGAGAAAATTGGAAAATAATGGTGGTGGGAAAGCGAAATGGTGGGTGGGATTGGTGTTGGGATATTAAGTGTAATAAATCATCATGAACAACTTTCACTGTCACTGTCCTCCCATTGTTCATCAATTTGCTCGAGCGGGCCCAGTAACATCTCCATTATGAGACTTGTTGTTACTGTGCTTTGGCATATCGAATACATCATGGGTAGCTTGCCAGGCTTTTCCGTGTGGGCGCGATACTCTCGGTAGCTTGCCGGGCTCTCCAAGAGGGGCGGAGGAATTGAACCCGGCTCTGCTGGGCCGGCCTCGTGCAAGGCAAATGCCTTACCGCTGTGCTATCACTCCAGGCCAATGAACAACTTTATAGAAATAAAATAATTTTTTAAAAAATAAATAAAATATAAAATAGAACTTCTATGAAGCTGGAGAGATTAGGCACTTGCCTAGTACATATCTGACTTACGCCAGGAGCGATCTTGGTGCACAGTCAAGTGTGACCCCCAAAACCCCCAAATTAAAAATAAATGTATAGGGGACGGAAGCGATAGTACAGCAGGTAGGGTGTTTGCCTTGCATGCGGCTGACCTGGGTTCGATCCCCAGCATCCCATATGGCCCCCCAAGTACCTCCAGGAGTAATACCTGAGTGCAAAGCCAGGAGTAATCCCTGAGCATCACTGGGTGTGACCCAAAAATAAAATTAAATTAAATTAAAAATAAATGTATAATAAAACTTGTTCATAGGGGCTGGAGCGATAGCACAGTGAGTAGGGCATTTGCCTTACATGCAGCCAACCCGGGTTCGATTCCCAGCATACCATATGGTCCCCCGAGCACCGCCAGGAGTAATTCCTGAATGCATGAGCCAGGAGTAATCCCTGAGCATCACCGGCTGTGACCCAAAAAGAAAAAAAAAAACTTTTCCCTAAAGAAACAGTTCACTGAAATGGTCAGCTCCATCTACTGCCCACTTCTTTTGCCTGTAGAAAGTCTGCTCCATGATGAGACACTAAAGCAAACAAACAAAAGCAGTGGAACAATCTTGGGGATGTGGCCATTCATCCTCTCCTGCCCCCCGTATCCCATTGGCCTTGGGCGGCTGATTTCTGTCGGTCCTGCACACATGGCTTTCTCTGCCACCCTAGGATTTCTGAAATCTGTGTTCTCCTGGGTCCTGCCATGGGACCGACCCTCCCCAGATCCTTCTAGGCTCTCCCTGAGGGGGTCTGTCTCGGGTAGAATGATGAGCCTGCATCTCCCTGCTATGCAGGAGTCTCACCCAGGCAATATGGGTGGGTCCTTGTGGGTGCACATGTCTACCTGTAGAGAATCTCTCCTAAACCACTAGGCTGGTGGTTTAGCCAATATTCATCTGTACCGGGCTCACCCAGAGTGCTCTCAGCCAGGTACCCGCCAGGGGAACCTGGTTTCTCTCCCTGCCCTCATTGCAGCAAGAGCTGCCCTCACCAGCATGGCTGAGCTGACTCCTGCTAACAAGAATTATTTTAGTTTTCATCTGCAAAGGAACACATATCACACTGGGGCTGGTGCATGCTAGGAAGTAATGAAATTGGATTTCTTTGTTGCATATTGTCATATGTTCTAACCTAAGTCAGGACACAGGGTCCAGTCTTACCTTGTGCTCAGGGCCCTGACATAATCATCAACTTTGAGTTTCTGGAACCCCTAGCTCTGATCTCCCTCCAGCCCCAGGGCCTTTGCACCTGCCATCCACACACCTCCTGCTCCTCCACTATGCGACTCTGCTATCTCCCGCATCTCATCTCCTATGTGACTCTTCACATCTCTCCTGTGTCTCTCCTGTGTCTCGTTTCCTTCGCCTAAAGCCCACCTCAGTCTCCTTCAAACCTCCCAGTAGCAAGCAACCAGCAGACACCTCAAGGCTCTTGCCACGATATGCAATGCTTGGGTTTATTTTCCTGTTTGCGTCTGTGCTCTGTGAGGGCAGGGAGACAGCCCTGGCACTGGAATTCAGCACAAAATAACGCTGAGCCGGCCTGAGGCGGGATCCACAAGCAGGGAGCAACAGAGACGTTCTGAGGGGCAGGCGGCCAGTACAGAGCCCTGGGCTGCAGAAATGGTGGAAGGAAGGGACAATGACACAGTCCCAGAGGGACTTGAAGCCTAGAGGGGATGGGAGGTTGGGACTCATATCCAGAGCTGGTTTCTGGAACGTTCCTTCTTCCCTCATGGTCCCACCCTGGGGATTAGATTGACCCAGAGCTCAGCTACAAAGGGGATGGAGCAAGAAGGTCCTTGGCTCACCCAGGAGTCAAGAATCAGAGCTGTGGGTCAGAAAGGTCCAGAGAAGGTCCGGGGGGGGTCTGGCCACCCTGGGCCACCACCCAGGCCTGTTCTTCCCTGTGTCAGGACGGGATCCTGCTGGGAGCGGTGGGCGCGTATGACTGGAATGGCGCCGTGCTGAAGGACACCAGCAGCGGGAAGCTCGTCCCTCTCCGCGAGTCCTACCTGCAGGAGTTCCCCGACGAGCTCAGGAACCACGGCGCGTACCTGGGTGAGCACCGGGCTGGGGTGCTGCATGCTCAGGCTTACCAGGGTCTCCGGCCGGGTCCTTGGGGCGCTCCACTGTGCCAAGCCCTACCCTGCCCCTCGGCCCGCTGGGGCCTGCGGAGACCAGCCCGTTTCTCCCGTGGCAGGGTACACGGTCACGTCTGTCATGGCCTCCAGGCAGGGCCGGGTGTACGTGGCTGGCGCGCCCCGATTCAACCACACCGGCAAAGTCATCCTGTTCACCATGCACAGCAACCGGAGCCTCACCATCCACCAGGCACTGCGGGGAGAGCAGGTCAGGGGGCGCCTGGGGGAGGCAAGGGCTGGCAGGGACAGGGCCGTGTCCAGAGCTATGAACAACCTCGGGTGGGTCACATATGTCCCCACACCGCAGCCTGGAGCCGTCCCTAGATGCCCTGGAAGAAGTTTCTTGTGGAGCTGGAGACGTAGTACAGCAAGGAGGGTGCTTACTTGCACGAAACAGACCCAGGTTTAATCCCCGGCATCCCATATGATCCACGCAGCCCACCAAGAGTGGCCCCTGAACACAGAACCAGGAGGAAACCTTGAGCACTGCCCCCCACCCCAAGAAAAAGGAAAAAAAAATTTTTTTTCTGCTTTTTGGGTTGCCCCCAGCGAGGCTCAGGGGTTACTCCTGGCTCTACACTCAGGAATTACTCCTGGTGGTACTGGGGGACCATATGGGATGCTGGGAATCGAACCCGGGTCGGCCATGTGCAAGGCAAACTCCCTACCAGCTGTGCTATGGCTCCAGCCCCAAAAGAAGAAATTTCTTGCCTCCACCTCAGGGGCCTCTGCAGCATCTGCATTTGCCCAAGACCACCAGCTTCCCCCGAGGGTCCAGACTGGAACCCACAGCTTCCTGGTCCCAACTGTCAAGGCCCAGGCATGGGTCTTCGGGGTCTTCCAACCACGGAGTGCTGTCAGAGTGGGGCGGGGATGCCGGGATGCCCTCGCGGGCCCCGTCCACTGCCCGTCCTGTCCCTCTACACAGATAGGCTCTTACTACGGGAGCGAGATCACCTCGGTGGATGTGGACGGGGACGGGCTGACCGACGTCCTCCTGGTGGGCGCGCCCATGTACTTCAGCGAGGGCCGCGAGCGGGGCCGGGTCTACATGTACCTCCTGAGACAGGTACCTCTGCAGGGGTACTGGGAGGTTCTGGAGGTGCTCCTGTGTACCGACTAGGGGGAGATGAGGGAAACTGAGTCACTGGAGGGGGTGGAGAGGAGTGCTTGGGCAGGGAAGCAGCGAGCAGAGGGGACGCTGCAGGCGGAGAGTCCAGCCCGGGCGCCCCCAGCTCGCCCTGCCCCTGGCCCTGCAGAACCATTTCATCTCTAACGGGACGCTGAGCGACTCCCAGGACAGCCAGGACGCTCGCTTCGGCGCCTCCATCGCCGCCGTCCGGGACCTCAACCAAGATGCGTACAACGACGTGGTGGTGGGTGCTCCCCTGGAGGACAGCCACCATGGCGCCATCTACATCTTCCACGGACACAGGGGTGGGGTCCTCCGGACGCCCAAGCAGGTGAGGAGGGGGGTGGTGCTGATGGACTCAAAGATTGCTCTGGCGCTGGGACTGTCCCCAGAAGACGAGAATGTTGACTCTGCAGGGTGTACCTATGCTCGGGGTACCCATCCCACCTTGCCTGACCCTCCCAGGAGCGGCATCTCAGGGTTCTTCCCCTGCCACCTGCCTCCGTGCAAATAGGGAGCTGGATCAGGCTCACTGTGCCCCAGAAAACTGACACACCTCCATAATCACCCTTCTCCGCCCCCACCCCCTACCCATTCCTCTCACCTACTTGCTTGGCCTAAAAAGAGCCCAATGAGGGGCCTGCAGCTAGCTCAAGGTCAGGTACAGGGGCCTGGCATATTCAAGGCCCTGAACCTAGATCTCGGCCCTGCACGGTTATCAAGGAGCAAGACCCCCTGCCCAAGAGCACTAGGAGTAACCCAGGGGTTCCGCCCTGAGCACCTCTGTCTGTGGCCGCTATAAAAATAAAGAATATGTTAAGGCCAACCATGGTGAGGATGCAGAAGGGGTTTCTGCTGGGTAACATGCGTTTATGTAATGGGGACTCTTTTAGGACATAATATTTTAATCCAATGGGCCTGAGGGATAGATAGTACAGCAGGTAGGGCACTGAACTTGCCAGCAGCCAACCCAGGTTCAATCCCCAGTATGGTTCTCACCATGGGTGATCCCTGAGCACAGAATCAGGCCTGAGCACCGCTAAGTGGGACTCAAAAACTGGAAGGCAAAAAAAGAAAGAACGAAAAGAGAAAAGAATAGGGTATGGAGAGATAGAACAGGGGTCAAACACTTGTCTTGCATGCAGCCACCCCTGGCTCAGTTCCCTGCGTTAGAGAGTTCCTTGAACTCCACAAGGAGTGATCCCTAAACACAGAGCCAGGAGAAAGCCCTGAGCACTTCCATGTGTGGCTTAAAAACAAAACAGAAAAAGCCACTTGATGTTGTAAGAATTTTAGGCATCAAGACACAGTGGGGAGCGGGGAGCTTTGGGCTGGGGATCCCGTGGTGGGTGTGAACAAACCATCTTGGGGCTCCCTACCATGTCCCCCTGTGGGGTGCGATGCTCTGGACTCACTGGTCCCCACTCCCTGCAGAGAGTTGCCGCCTCCCAGCTGGCTTCAGGACTCCAATATTTTGGCTGCAGCGTCCACGGGCAACTGGACCTGAATGAAGACGGTCTCATTGACCTGACGGTGGGCGCCCTGGGCAGCGCTGTGATTCTGTGGTTGGTTCCCACTTCTCTTGACTCTTGGGGCTCTCAACAGGAGAAGGGAAGTCCCCCTCTCACCCCTCTGAGGGTCTTCTCAGGCTGGTCAGGCAACAAATTAACATTAAACATACTAGGAAATGGGCCTGAGTAATAGCACAAAGACTTGCCTTGCACGCAGCCGACTCGGGTTCAACATCTGGCATCCCTCAGAGCAGAGCCAGGAGTAACCTCTGAGTACTTCTTTAAGGGACTATCACAGTCCCGGGTTAGGGATGTGACTCAACTGGTACAGCACAGGCCTAGCATGAGCAAGACCCTGGGTTTGACCCCTGGCACCTCTGAGGCCAGGTACTGAGCTGGAAATGGCCCCAGTAGGGAGAAGGAGAGAACGCTGCAATCTGGTGGGGATTGTCTGAGCCAGCTCCCAGGAGCACAGAGCCCACAGCACAGAGTCTGAGGCTGCAGCTCAGGCAGCAATGCCAGAGAAGGAAGCTCCAGCCTGGGGGCCTAATGCAGTCCCAGGAAACGGAGGCCAGGATGGAGAACAGGGACCTTCCTGGGAGGCTCAGAGGGACAGCTTCCAGGTCAAAGGTCTCCATAGAGGGAGTTGTCATATTTCATCTCAGAATTGGTGCCACCGCATAACCTTGCATCAGCTCAGAAACTGGTCTGTGACCTTTGGAAGCAGCTCAGCAACAGAGCATTGCCTTGCATGGGTGAGGCTTTGGGCTCAACTCCTGGAACTGTAGGCTGCAGACATCAATCAACCAATAATGTTAGGGGCCAAAAAATGGCTCAGTAGGAAAGCACATGAAACCAGGATCTCATGCCCAGCACCCGAGAAGGAGGAAGTTTATAGGGGGGCTCGAGAGTCGTCAAGGGGCTGAGCCCCGGCTCTGCACCCAGGAGGCCCAGATACACCCACTGGTGCCTGTTCCAAGCCCTCTTCCTTTCTTTCTTTTCTCTCGGTTTTCCAGCCACACCCAGTGGTGTGTAGGGTGGTGTTCCTGGCTCTGTGCTCAGGGATCACTTCTGGCTGGGCTCAAGAGACCCTACAGGGTGCCCGGAAATAAACCTGAGTTGGCTGCATGCAAGGCAAGAGTCCTCCCAGCATGATTTCTGAGGGCCAGGCCCCAGGCCTTGGCTAGTGTCGCTGCATGATTGCGTCCACGCACCAGTCTGAGAAGCAGAGTCTCTGTCTTTATGGCCCCACACAGCATGTCCTCAGTCTCCCAGCGGGAGATGCCCAGATGGTGGATCCCACAGGCCTCGCTCTTCACTCCCTCCCCTCCCTGCAGGAACGCCCACACCCTCCACAGAGAGAAGCTGCATCCCAGCCCCGACACCCCTCTCTTCCCCTCCACAGCATCCAAGTCCTGCACCCCTACTTTCGAGTATCCACACCCAGGGAGAGGCCGAGTGCTCCCTGTCCAGTGTGGATGGACAGGACACTAACTATGCATTTCTGAGACCTGGAGGGGGGCGAGACAATGCCTGATGCACAGGGTCTCAGCACACTGGATTCTCCTGGGCAGCTTCAGTGCCGTGGCCCCCTGAGAGTGGTCCAAGGACCTCCCACTCTGCATCACCTCCAGAAGTGCAAATCCGTGCATTTGGGTCAGGGTCTGAGTTTTCACAAGCTTCCCAGGAGAGGTGACAGAGTCTGATCCTAAAACTTACCCTGATGCCCTGAGATGCCCCAAGATGCCCCAAGATGTTTCAAGATGCTTCAAGATGCCCCGAGTTGCCCTGAGTTGCCTGAGTTGCCCCAAGATGCCCTGAGTTGCCCAGAGTTGTCCCAAGATACCCCGAGATGCCTCGAGATGCTCTGAGTTGCCGTGAGTTGCTCCGAGATGCCTCAAGATGCCCCGAGATGCTCTGAGGTGCCCTGAGTTGCCCCAAGTTAGTCCATTGATACCCCGAGATGCCCTGAGTTGCCCCAAGATATCCCATCTTGGGAGGTGCTGACTCTGTCCAGGGTCTGAACATGAAGGTCATTCCACTGTCAGGGGGTAAGGAAGGAAGATCAAGTTCATGAGTCCGGCCCCGGAAATGACCCGGAACTCTCTCCTGGACCTGTGAAGCTGTCCCTGGCCCCAAATCTGGACCCCTCCTGCCCCTCCCAGCACCCCTACACACAGCCCTCACCCATGGAGGTGTTTCTGCAGTCTCTCCCCCCCCCCCCCCGCCGGCTCTCCACCACCCACGGCCCCGGCCCCGGCCCTGTGCCAGGCCCAGCTTGGCCTCTCCCGTCCCCCAGGTCCCGCCCAGTGCTGCGGATCCACACCAGCCTCCACTTCGAGCCAGCCAAGATCAACATCTTCCACCGGGACTGCCGGCGCAGCGGCAGGGACGCCAGCTGCCTGGCCGCCTTCCTGTGCTTCACGCCCGTCTTCCTGGCACCCCATTTCCAAACCGCCACCGTGGGTACAGCCACCCCTCTTCCCCGTCCCCACGCCCCCTTTCAGAAACTGGCTGTGTGGCCCTGTGGCTGAGTGCCAGGAGCTCCGAGCACTGACTACCAGGGAACAGTGGGGATGCAGACTTCCCATCAGAATAGCCTAGAAGCGGCCAGGTAGACTAACCTGTGGAATCCAGGAAGCCAGCCTGGAGGTGGAGGAAGACCCTGACCAGAGAAGGCTAGAAGGGTGGAGGGGATATAGGCAGATGAAAAACTCATGGCAGTGGTCACTGCACAGAGCAGCCCCACATTCTGAGGCTCCGTCACTTCTGGGGAAGTGGGGGGCAGAGGAGAGGACTTCACCCAACTCCTGGCAGTCCTGCCTGGGACAGCCTGGGAATGGATGGGACCGGGTCTCGTCTAGGGAGACAGCCTGGGAATGGATGAGACAGGGTCCCATCTAGGGGGACAGCCTGAGAATAGACGGGGCAGGGTCCCGTTTAGGGGTGGGTGGGACTGCAGAGAGACGTCTGCTGAGGAGTGGGCTGACTAGACAAGAGGGAATGACCCTGGAGACCCCGTTGAACATAAGGCAGCCTTGCAGGTCCTGTTCAGTGCCCCAGGGCTGCCCAGGGCCCGGGCTGAGCCCTGGAACCTGCAGAACGTACTTGAGCTGAAGGGAAGTGGATGCAGGCTTCATCACCAGGGGTCGGAGGTGGGGCCCAGCCCTGGTAGACCCTCCCCCACCCTCTCTTCTCTGTCTGAGCTCATTCCCCTCCCCAGGCATCAGGTACAACGCCACCATGGATGAGAGGCGCTACACACCCCGGGCCCACCTGGACGAGGGCGGGGACCAGTACACTAACAGGGCAGTCCTGCTCTCCTCGGGCCAGGAGCACTGTGAGCGGATCAACTTCTATGTCCTGGTGAGTCTGACGCCCACAGACCTGCGTGGGCACCTGGAGTTGGGCAAGGCCCCACTGTGGGGCACCTCAGCACTCACCAGGCCAGCTGGGCAATGGCCTGAACTCAGCCTGCCCCAGCCTTGGCCCAGAGAAGAGGCCATGGTCACACACCCCTACCCTCCTCCCAGCCCCCTTCTCCCAGTTCTCAAATCCCCCTCCCCTCCCTTTTTCTCTTCCTTTCTTCCTTTTGTTTTGTTTTGTCTTGTCTTGTTTTGGGGCCACAGCCAGCAATGCTCATGCTTACCCTGGCTCTGAACTCAGCCAAGTGCAAGGCCAATGCCCTACCTCCTGTACTATTGCTCCAGCCCAAGAGAATTTGTTCTAGGTGATGCTCAAGGATTGATTACTTCTAGCTCTGTGCTCAGGAATTGCTCCTGGTAGTGCTCAGGGGACCATATAGGATCCCGGGGATTGAATTTGGGTCAGTCACCTGCAAGGCAAACATTCTTCCTGCCATACTATCTCTCCGGACCCTCTTCCTTCCTTTTGTTTTAGGGCTCTAAAACTGACTCCTGGCTCTGTGCTCAGGGATCCCTCCTGCGGGGCTTAGGGCACCTGCAGAATATCCTTGGACTGGACTAATAAGGTGCTGGGGGTCATCCTGGGTGAGTGCCTTATCAGTTTCTTCCTTCCAATTCCTTTCTTTGGAAATTCTCTGCTCCTGCCTTGGGGCATACATGTGGTTCTGGTGCCCCAGGAACAGAGCAGCAGAGGTGCCACTTGCACGCACAGCCCGGGCTGGGTAGGACCCCCTTTGGCACTCACCTCAACTGGCTGCAGTGCCCCCTGTGCTCACACGCCGGCCACAGTGCCAGTCTCGGAGCTCACGTATGCCTGGTGGCACAGGCCCACCTCACTGCTCAGTGATGCAATGTGACACCACAGATAGCAGAGCCGGGGCCTCACCTGGTCAAACTTTCAAACTTTTCTTTTATTCTTTCTTTATTTTTTTTTCCTTTTTTAGTTTTTGGGTTACACCCAGTGGTACTCAGGGTGGTACTTACTCCTGATTCTGTGCTCATGGATCACTCCTGTCTGGGCTCGGGACCATATGTGGTGCCTGGGAGGGAACCTGGGTCGGCTATGAGCAAGGCAAGCACCCTCCCCACTGTCATATCTCTATGACCCTGTGGCCCAACATTTTTGGGAGAATGGTGGCACCCAGTCAGTAGCTAAGGGAAGTTAGCCAGTGGGGCCTGGTTCCAAAAGGAAGGGCCCTCGGTAGGGGCTGCAAATGAAGGGGGACCCAGAGATAAAGTACAGCAAGGTGGGGGGGGCTGGTAGGGCATTTGCCTTGCATGCAGCTGACCCAGGTTTGATTCCCGGCATCCCATATGGTTCCCCGAGCACCACCAGGAGTAATTCCTGAGTGCAGAGTCAGGAGTCACGCCTGTGCATTGTCGGATGTGACCCAAAAAAGAAAAAAAGAAAAAAAAAAGTACAGCAGGGAGGGCTGACCCAGGTTCTATACCCAGGCATCCCATATGGTCCCCTGAGCACCAGCAGGAGAGATTCCTGAGTGCAGAGCAACCCCTGAGCACCATCGGGGTGGCCCAGAAACCAAAAAATAAATGCATATTTCCATCTTGCCCCCAGGGGACATTCTTTAGCTAGAGACCCCCCCAGCCCACTCAGGAAGCACAGCCTTCCCGTCCCGCTGGCTGGGACTGTCCCGCTGGGCCCCGCCCATCTCAACCTCCCCCGTCTTCCCCACACAGGACACTGCAGACTCCGTGAAACCAGTGACCTTCTCAGTCGAGTACTCCCTGGAGCATCCGGATGACGGCCCAGTCCTGGACGACAGCTGGCCCACAACCCTCAGAGCCTCCGTACGTCCCCTGATGGGCGCCCCAGCCCTTTCCCCCCAGAGGAGCCCAGGCCTGGAGTGATGGGCACCTACGTGCCTTCCTGTGGTCCCCATGTACCCCAAGCTGCTCTGTTTGGGGCCATGCAGACACGAGTCCTCAGCGCCGTGTGCATGGGCGGGCATGTGCAGATGGTCCCAGAGGAGCAGTTGTGCCCACAGACCGGACCCCCACCCCCCGGAGGCTGAGCCTGATTCCCGCCCCCCCCCCCAAGAGCCCCAGCTCTCCCCAGGCTGAGCCGCCCGCCCACTCCTGATTCCTGGCCTTCTATTTGCCCATGCGTTCCCCATCTCCAGCCGCATGCCCAAAGGCCTGCCAGTTCCAGGGGTGCCTGAATGTTCTGGAATCCAGCACCCAGGGGTGCCTGAATGTTCTGGAATCCAGCACCCAGGGATGCCTGAATGTTCTGGAATCCAGCACCCAGGGATGCCTGAATGTTCTGAAATTCAGCACCCAAGGGCCAGAGCAACTGTGTCTTCAGAGCACTGTCAGGTGGGCGTGCTCTGTTCAAGGAGGGGTGCGGGGCCTTGGCTGAAGTAGACCCCCAGGGCCCAGTAGGGGCTTATGTAGTGAAGCGGGCCCTGGGCTCTGTCGCTGGCATCTGGACTGGCTCATGTCCCTCGAGCACGGCCCGGTAGGGCTCCACGGCTATTCTTCAGTGCCACAGTGGTCTGAAGACCGTGGTCTGTGAGGCGGCTTCTGAGCAGCGTCTGAGAAGTAGGTGCAGCCTAACATCTCGCCCTCGGAAACCTTTCTACCCGCCAGCCAGCCCCCTCCTCACTGCCCACTGTCCTCTCCCAGCGCCCCCCGCCCCCCCATGGGCACCCACTGGCTTTGGGGGCCACACCCAGCAGAGGTGGAGATTCTCAGGAGCAATTCTGGGCCCAGTGTTCAGTCTGCTCCCAGAAGTGCTCCAGGGATCACGCAAGGGCTCCCACTGGGATCTCCCACATGCCAAGCCTGTGATTGGCCCTGGGAGCCATTCTCTAGCCCAGAGGCTGCCTTCAAACTGCAGCTGGGAGACAGGCCTGGAGCAACAGAGCACAGTGGGGAGGGCTTTTGCCTTGCATCCAACAGGCCCAGGTTCTGTCCCAGCACCCCATATGGTCCCTTGAGCCCCACCAGGAGTGATCCCTGAGCCTGAACTCCTGAGCACTGCTGAGTGTGGCCCAAACACAAAGACAGAAAACAAACCAACATGGGGCCATGGCACAGTGGGGAGGGCACTTGCCTTGCACCTGGCCACTCTGGCTTCAATCACCAGCTCCATACCTGGTCCCCGGGGTCCCACCAGGAGTGATCCCTGAGTACTGCTGGGTGTGGCCCAAAAACAGCAACACAAAGCTCTGTAGCCACCATAGAAGATCTGTGGGGTTATGGGGTTGGCCATGCGGGCAGCAGAGAAGGAGTCGGGAGGGCAGGGGGTGGTGCACAGCGGGATAAGCCTGGGACCCTGCAGCTGCTGCCCGCCCTGCCCTGCACAGGTGCCCTTCTGGAATGGCTGCAGCGAGGATGAGCACTGTGTCCCCGACCTTCTGCTGGACGCCCGCAGTGACCTGCCCACAGCTATGTGAGTCGGCCTGACTCTCCCGTCCTTGCGAGGCAGATGGGGGTGCTCCCAGAGCCCCGTGTTGCTGCCTACAGCTAGCCTACACCTCTCAGAAGCGGCGAGGGTCCACTGCGAGGCCTGGGGCCAGCACCACACACACCCCAACTCACTGCGCACAAGGGCCTCTGGGAAATGGTCATTCCCACTCACCCTACATCCGGGAAAGGCGTGCCCTGGAACCCAAGAGCCGAGGTAGAGAGCTGGGGTTTTGGGTGCTCAGAATCCCCACCCAGGACCTTCAGGCCCCATTACTGACGCCCACCATCCCGGAAGAAACAAGTGGGCATGGAGGGAGAGCATGGGGTCACCCTCATGCTGACTGGGCAGACAGTGCCATGGCACACTCCCAGCGCACCTCAGGGCTGATGCCCATTGGTGAGACCCTGGACACAGGACAGCTCCAGGTCAGAGTAACACAGCCCAGCCTGGGAGAAGTAAAATTCTCTCATCTATCCACCATGGGCTCTGCTTCTAACTCTGAGCTTCCGAGCGGAGCCAAAAGGGCCCTGAGATCTCCAGCAGTCAGCCCTGAGCACAGAACTGGGAGTCAGCCCTGTCCATCACTGAGTATGGCCCCCAAACAAACAAACTGCAGGGAAAAGAGGCAGCGTGAGGAGGGCCCATGGTGTTTGTCGCCCCCGTCTGACCCGTGGCCTCCTTCCCCCAGGGAGTACTGCCAGCGGGTGCTGCAGAGGGCCCCCCCGGACTGCGCCGCCTATGCCCGCGCCTTCGACACCACCGTCTTCATTGTCGAGAGCTCCCGGCGGCGGGTGGCAGTGGAGGCGCAGCTGGAGAACAGGGGCGAGAATGCATACAGCGCCGTCCTGAACATCTCCCAGTCGGCAAACCTGCAGTTCGCCAGCCTGATCCAGAAGGTATACGGGCCGGCGGGGAGAAAGGACGGCTGGAGGACGGCTGTCTGCGTGTGGCTGACCCAGGCTGGCTCCCCAGAACGGCCCCTCCCACCTCCCTGCTGGAAGCGATCCCTAAGCACAGAACCAGGGGCAAGCCCCGAGCACCACCGTGGTCCCCTCCCACAAAACACAGAAGGTTCAACTTCCAGGGATGTGCCCCCCCACCCCCACAGGAAGGGAGGAATGGAGTCAAGTGTCCCTGCAAGTTAGAACCCCACCCCAGGGGGGACACTCGGTGCCACTCAGCCGTCCCACTGCTGCTCAGCCCTTGAAGATTTGAACTGCCCCGGGCTAGGGGGGTGGACATCAAGGAAGAGCCGTGTAGCCAGCCAGTGCCTGGAGGTGAGGGCCCATCCACGGCCTGGCCAGTGCCTCCTGCTGCTCCTCCCACCTCCCCTCCCAGCGCCCACCCACAGCCTCCGGTCCCCCTTCCCTGGGCCCCACTCTAGAGGGCCAGTCCAGGGCTTTGTGGTGGGCTTTGTCCTGGGAGTGCTGGGGGGACACAAGGTCTGGGGTCACACTCAAGCCCTCGGACACTCCTGGCACGTGTTCTGTGGCTCTCGCTTCTCAGGCAGGAATATGGGATTCGGTTTCTGTGCCCAAGATGGCTTTGGGGATGGGGTGGGGTACAGGGAAGCAGGGATGTGTCCAGGAAGTGCGGCTGTGGAGGCTGGGCTGGGGCCCAGCTCCGAGCTCTGAGGCACCCCCAGAGCTGCCCAGACGCCAAGGCCCAGAGAATCTGTCCCTCCCCGTGAGGCTAGAGGCAGTGCCTCTGTTTAGCTGGGAGCCCCAGACTCCAGCCCCAGGCAATCCTGACCTACTGACAGCCTATGGGAATGAGTGTCTCCAGGTGGTCCAGCCAGGACACCTGTCCACACCCCACATGCCCACCTGCACCCTCTCCCATGCACCCTGCCCCATGCATCATCCCCCACGGCCTGCCTCACGTGCCCAAGTGCTTCCTGCGTCCCCCCGCTTACCACACCTGAGCCTCCAGGGACCCTGGTCCAGTGCCACCCTGTGACTGATGCTGCCATGATGCCCCCCAGGACGATGCAGAGGGCAGCATTGAGTGCTCAAACGAGAGGAAACTCCCCAAGAAAGTCTGCAACGTCAGCTATCCCTTCTTCCGGGCCAAGGCCAAGGTGAAACCAGGGTGGGGGAAGGGGGAGGGTTGGATGGGGGTGGGGGAGGGCTGGGGAAAGGTGTGGGGGGGGGGGAGAAACTGAATGCCCTGAGGGATGGAGAGAATCTGTGTTTAAAGAGGGTTTTTACCCAGGAGACGACCTTCCAGATGAGCAGTTTAACCTGCCTCTGAACTGAGCACATGCCAGGACAGCACTCACCTGACCCAGAACTAAGTACCAGCCCAGAACAGCACTCACCCAAGCCCCTGGGCACCATGCACTCCTCCCACCCCACTGCCTCTTGGTCCTTGTCACTGTCCTTCTCCCAGATAGGACAGCAGCCGAGGCTGTGATTGTCCCAGGTAGAGGGCGGGACAGGCAGGAGCAGGCCCTGGGTCCCAGCCCCAGGCTGACAGTGTGCGTGAAGGACCAGCAGGCGAGTGTTGACTGAGCCTGGAAGGCCTGGTTCCACCCCCGGGACAGACACACACACACACATATACACATGTATACACACATACACGAACACACACACATGCACATACATTCACACGTGCATATGTGCATACATAAACGCATCCATACACATCCAATACATGCATGCACACACAGGTACACATCCTGTGAGAGCGTGAGGAGACCACAGAAGCAAGAAAGGGCTCCCCCCACCCCCACCCACCCCCGGTGGTGGCGTGTTTGTCCAGGGAGACAGCCAGTTCTAGAGGGAGAGACTGGGGAACCCAAGGCTCTCAGCAGGGGAGCAGTGAGTTCCAGCCCAGGCCCCAGAAGACTGGACTGGGAGAAGGTTAGGAGGACAGGCCAGGGGCAGGGGGAGGAGGTATCAAACTCCTTGGCAAAGACCCTCCCCAGGAGGAGTTGAGTTGGGCTGTAGTTTTGGGGGGGTGAGGTTCTGACCACCCAGCAGCACGAGCTCCCCCAACCCAGAGCTCCTGTGGGAGAATGGGGCCCAGGGGGCTCCCACGGAAAGTCCACACGCACAAAGGGGGATTCTGTGCAACATCCCAGTAATGGCTCGGGAATGGGGTGCAAACGGGAGATGAGGTTCTGATGCCACAGCAAACCCACTTTTGTGGAAAGGCCAAAGGAAGCCCCCAGGAGGAGCGGAAGCGTGGCCTGGGGTCTGGATAGGGGGTGTGGCCTTGGGTCTGGGAAGAGGTGTGACCTGGGCGTGGCCTCGGACCTAGGTAGGGGCGTGGCTTCGTACCTAGGTTAGGGCGTGGCCTCGAGTGGGAAGGGGCGTGGCCTCAGACTTGGGGCTGGGTTTCAGGCCTAGGGCAGGTAGTGGACCTTGTGCCTGCAGGCAGATGAGGGAGGGGCGCCGCCCACAGTCTCTGTCCCCATATGTGGTCACATGGACGTGGCCTCCTCACCACCATCCCCCACCCAAAGTCTGACATTCCCTTGCTGCCTTCCTGTTGACCTAAGTTCAAAATAAGAGGCGGGTAAGTCTAGCCTCATCACCCCACCCTGAAGCCCCATCAGAGATGAGGTCTGGGCTCCCGCCCTCACAGCCCCCAAGCTCGGCTCGGGGTCCCGCCCCGCTGACGGTTCTTCCTTGCAGGTAGCTTTCCGCCTGGACTTCGAGTTCAGCCGCTCCGTCTTCCTGCACCACCTGGAGATCCAACTCGTTGCGGGCAGGTCAGAGCTGGCTACCCTCCTACCCCTACCCCCCACCCCCCAGCTCACTCCACCTCCAGGACCCTACCCTCGCCTGCCCTGAACGCCCCCCCCCCCCACCGCCCCCTCGCAGGTCCCTCCAAGGCTCTGGGAGTGGGCCACGTTCCTCAGCGCGGCTATAAGAGCCTCACCCGCCCACGCAGATACACCAACACACACTGCCACGGTCATGGGAGAGCCACAAGCTCTAAAGCTCAGACTCACACCACAGCCTCACATAGCCGTGGAGGCTGGAGAGACGGGACAGCACAGGGGCAAGCGATTAATTGCAACAGCCTGCGCAGGATACAACCCCGTCACCACATTTGATTCACAGAGTCCCGACAGAAACACAAAGCACAGCTGGGAGTGGTCCCAACCTTCCCCCATCCCAGCCAAAAAAATCTAATTAAGGGACTGGAGCGATAGCACAGCGGGTCGGGCATTTGCCTTGCACACAGAGGACCCAGGTTCGATTCCCAGCACCCCGTATGTTCCCCCAAGCACCACCAGGAGTGATTCCTGAGTGCATGAGCCAGGAGTAACCCCTGTGCATCGCCAGGCGTAACCCAAAAAGCAAAAAAAAAAAAAAAAAATCTAATTAAAAGGCAGACAAGGGCCTGGGGACAGAGTGCGCCTGGTAGATTGTAAGACCCTGGCATCAATGCCTTCCTCATGAAGTCGGTGGGCCCCGACTTTGGTGGGTCGGTGGGTGTCTTACATGAGGTGGAGAGGAGAGAGGCAGTCAGTTTTTCCCGATCCACTTCTGCCATCCCTGGGCCAGCTGGGAAGTTTAGGACTGGCAGTCTGTGATAAGCCCCTGCACAGCACAGGCAGAGCACCTCCCCCCCCCCCCCCAGCTCCACCAGGTGACAGTCAAGCCACACCTGACATCCGCTTGGTCTTCTCGGCGCGGGATTTGATCCCCCCACCCTATCTCTCGGGGAGCCACAAACTCAGGCTGGAGCCAGGAATTGCTTTTTGCAGGAAAGGCCAGACCTAGACCTTACCCAGGGCTTCCAGGTTACTTTCGTCGTATCTCACAGATAAAAGAATTTCAGAGGTAGACAGCCATGAAGTAAAAATTAATTTTATTTCAAGGTTTTGAAGAAGGGAAAGGAGGAAAATAAAAGTAAGAGTAATGCATTCAAGTGAGAACACGGGCTTCTCCAAAGGCAGAGAGAGCCCCAGTACACATCTCAAGAGGGGAGACGCGGGCGACACACGTGCTCAGGCACCCCCTGGGCAGCACAGCACATGGACTCGGGCAGCATATACGCGCCCTTCTTTTGTTCAAGGTGGCTTTTATAGGGTTTCTCCAATCTGCCCCATTGGGGCTTCTACCTAGGTAAGAGTCTGTTGCTAGGGTGGTTGACATGGGAGTAGTTGGGAGTAGTTGGTGGTCCTCTGTGAAATTCCTTCTCTGGTCTTTGTTCCTTCTCTCCAGTAGTGGGGAGATGGGGGGGGGAGTAGGCAGGGCGGGGAGGTTCCAGCCTTCTCTGGGCCTGTTGACACCACCTGTAAGTCTGATCAGTTCCTGTGCTCACAAGGTGGGTCCTGACAGCCTTAGGGCTAGATGATTTTACTACTCCCCCGAATTCCATTGCCATGAGGGCCCTTCCTGCCTACATTGCTCCAGCACTGCTTGGGGTATCCCTGGTGACCCCAAATCCTGCGTCCGGAATGACTCTAAGCACCGCCAGATGTAGCCCAAAGCCAAGTAGAGATTTAAAAAATTTAAAATGTAGGGGCTGGAGTGATAGCACAGCGGGTAGGGCATTTGCCTTGCACGCAGCCGACCCCGGTTTGATTCGTAGCATCCCATATGGTCCCCTGAGCACTGCCAGGAGTGATTCCTGAGTGCATGAGCCAGGAGTAACCCCTGAGCATCGCCGGGTGTGACCCAAAAAGCAAAAAAAAAAAAAAAAAAATTTAAATGTAGACCAAAAGACACTAGTTCTCATCTCACTTCCCAAACAAACTTTAGGCAAGAAGAAAAAAGCTCAGAGCAGTTGAGTTCATTTTCCAGGGACACACAGCAAATACATAGCTCAACACGGGTGATCTTACCATGCCTAGCCCAGGGCTCCTTCTGTCCTGGGTGAGTCTCTCACCTTGGAAATACTTCCATCTTTAGAACAAGGTCCCTGGGACCTTGCTCTTCAAGCCTGTGTTCAGGGGAATCCTCCTGTGTTCAACCCATGTTCTCCCCTGACATGTCTCTTGCTAACTCATCTCTGTGTTTTGTTGTTCGCCTATTTCCACTCCAGAGAAGCCTGTGTTCTCTCTCAAACATGTACTTATTTCTCCCATTCTCTCTCCTCATATCTTTCTAAATAAGTTTCAATAAAAACTTATTTTTTTCCTCACACACACACATACACACACACCAAAAAACTAAAATAAATAAAACAACTTCCCTGAGGCCGGAGAGACAGTACAGCAGGTAGGGCCCTTGCCTTGCACAAGGCCGACCCACATTTGACCCCAACAAAGTCTCTAATGGAGACGTTAGTGGGCCCACTCGAGCAAATCGATGAACAACGGGAGGACAGTGATACAATGAAATCCCATTGTGTCCCCCAAGCATCACCAGGACTAATTCCTGAGCATGGAGCCAGGAGTAAACCTTGAGCGCCACCAGGTGTGCCCTTCCCAGGGGAAAAAAAAAAAAAAAAAGACCTTCCCTTGGGTGCTGAGGTATTGGCTCTAAAGGACCAGACAGCATCCTTGGCATGTGGGAGGCTCAGTCAAATCCCTCATACCACACGGTCCCCTACACACCACCAGGGAGTGACACTCAAAAACTCCCAAGTACAAACACTTGGCCCCCAAAACAAAACAAAACAGAACAGGAGTCAGAGAGGCAGTGTAGGGGTTAAGCAACTGCTTTGCACGCTGCCAACCCAGGTTCGATCCCCGAACCCCACCAGGAGTGATCCCTGAGCACAGAGCCAGGCTCCAGCCCTGAGCACTGCCGGATGTACCCCCCACTATAAAAAGAAAGCAGCTCTGTCAGCAATGGGAGCCTGAACACGCACCCACATGTGTGCACACCAATGCAGTCCCGAGACCAAGTCCAGGCCCCAACAGTCTGCACTGTCTTCAGTGCTCAGTGAGCACAGGCCCACTCCCATGGGGAGGGGACTGTGATAGCAAAGGTGTCACTGCACGGTATGTGGGGGTGGGGTAGGGGCGTCTGTGCACGAGGTGTGGACGCCGTGGGAGGGGGTGTCGGTGTGAGTCAGAATTCTCCGAGAACTAAATGCCTCTCCTAGGGTAAGTCTTGAAACTTCCCAAAGCAGAAATGGTCTGTTTGTTTATTTACTCATTTGCTTCTTAGGGTTTTGGAGGATCACACTGAGCAGTGTTTAGGGCTGACTTCTTGTTCTGTGCTCAGGGATCAGGGGATCCTCTGTGGTGCCAGGGATGGCACTGGTGTTGGTCATGTGCAGGTCCATGCCTGACCCTTCTCTGATCTCTCTAACCCCAGAACTGGTTCATTTCTATGAAGTATATTCATCCTAGCAACTGATGGTTCTCAGAGGTGAGGGGGGACCATGTCTCAGAATTGGACTTTCCAGTGTTTTCCAGGCAGCTAAGTGCCTGGGCCCTGGTAGACACAGGGAAGGTTCTAAAATAGTGAATTCCAGGGCCTGGAGCGATAGCACAGCAAGTAGGGCATTTGCCTTGCACACGGCAGACCCAGGTTCGATTCCCAGCATCCCATATGGTCCCCCGAGCACCAAAAGGAGTAATTCCTGAGTGCAGAGCCAGGAGTAACCCCTGAGTATCGCCAGGTGTGACCCAAAAAGCAATAAATAAATAAATGAAATAGAGAGTTCCAGGGGGTCCTCAGAGCCCCCCCTCCCTCAGACCTGGCTCCTTGGACGGCAAACAGACCTGTGCCTTGACCCCTGACAAGGTGTCTCGGCAGACACACCAGACACTTGGGGCAGTCGCTGCCCTGCAGACCTTTCCTGGCCCCTCTGCGAGGCGGAAGTCACCAGAACGGGCCCTGCCTCCTCAGGGAGGCCTCAGTTTCCTTGGCAGCTCTTGGCCTCCTCAGACTCTGCTCCCCCCCCCCCCACCCCCGCAGCCCCTCTTGGGCCCGCCACACCCGCTGACTGTGTTGTGTCCCTGCAGTGACAGTGACGAGGAGGAGGGCACCAAGGAGGACAACATGGCCCTGCTGCACTGCCCGCTCAAGTACGAGGCCGACCTGCTTTTCACCAGGTGCGCTGACGGTGCCCGCGGGGCTCGGGGCCAGGGCTGAGGCCCAGAGATGAAGGTCTGGGAGCAGGAACAGGGGTATCCCTGGGAATCAGACTAAGGAACCTCTTGTCCACATTGGAGGGGTGGCCCAAGAGGCACTATCGGTCCTCACCCCTGCATGGCGTCTCACGAGGATGGTTCAGAGACTTGGGGGTGCAGAGAGACTGGGGGTGCAGAGACACTGGAATGTGGGGAGAATCTGGAGTGCAGAAGACTCTGGGGTGGGAGGCTCTGGGGTATGAGGAGATTCTGGGGTGTGGGAGACTCTGGGGTGTGAAGAGATTATGGGGGTTGGGAAGACCCTGCTAATGGGTACAGAAAGGCTCCCCCAACCGTCAGGGTGCTGGTGCCGCATTCTGCCTTGTGAGTCCCGTGTGTGCTGGGTCAGGGGAACATGATCAAGAATGTCCATTCCCCAAGAGGGGGATATCTGCATGTACACAAGCACACAGATGCACATGCATGTGTGTATAGTACATGTATGCACACGTGTGTGTACATACATGTGTGCATGTACGTGTGTGAGTATATTTGTGTGGGTTCATATTTCATGTGTATGCCTGTGCGATTCATGCATATGCATGTAGATGTAAATGTGTGCCTATACGTACTCACACATTCATGTGCACATGTCTACATACCTGTATGTATGCACATGCACACACACGTGTACACAAATTCATTAAACATAGTCACGTACACATGTGTGCACACACATATATATAATACATATGACACTTGCACATCTACGCAAATAACTATTACACATACACTTGCACACATATGAACACACCTTACATATATGCACACTCATGGGGCAAGAGTGTGCGGGAGTGGGGGGGAGAGGCACCACCCCCCGCCCCTCCTGACGGTGTCGCACGCCTGCAGGAGCAGCTCCCTGAGCCACTACGAGGTGAAGCCCAACATTTCCCTGGATGGCCCAGGGCCTCCCTTCAGCTGCATCTTCAAGGTAGGCCAGGGGCACAGAGGTGGAATCTGGGCTCAGAGCTGGGGTTCGGCTCCTCCCCACCCCCCATCCTGCGGACGGGACACTTCCCCTCTCTGGGAGCTGGAGGGCCAGGCAGGTTAGGGATGATGGGGTGGTCGCGGAGACCCCAGGAAGGCACCGAGGTGAGCTCCCCACCAGCCCGTGACATGCCAAGGGCCGTTCTGGTAGCACCTGAAGCACCGCCGTGGGGTGTGGCCTGCCCATACCCCGTCAGAAGGAAGCAGGGGTAGCACACAGTCTAACTCCCGAGAGAGTCCCCAGGTGGCAGCACCCAGAGCTGTGGGGACAGGCCTCCTGTCCTGAGACCTCTCAGTCTCAGCTGCAGCTCCAAAGAAAAGGGAGAGTGCTGCCCCCCCAAACCTGCGCTTCATCCCACTGTGGAACACATGGGCTGCTGGGTTTCGGGGGTGCAGATGCAGGAGGCTCAGGAGGCTCACGGAGGCATCCCTGCAGGAGAGCAGAACCCGCACTTGGGACATGCCAAGATGGGACAGCAGGGCAGTGGGTCTGAGTACAGGGGTACCTGGGCCAGTACATATTCAGATGCCGAAGTCCTTGTGGGGTTGTTTGTGTTTTGTTTTGTTTGGGGGCCACACCCAGTCATGCCCAGGGCTGACTGCTGGCTCTGTGCTCAGGGATGGCTCCTAGCAGGCTCAGGAGACCTGATGGGGTGCCAGGGTCAAACCTTGGCTTGAGTGCAAGGCAAATGCCCTCCCCACTGTACTGCGGCTCCAGCCCCAGAAGCCGAGGTGCTGCAACTCTGATGGATCTGGCTAGGCAGTGAGGTCCCACATTCCTCTATCCTGCGTTCATGCCAGCTCCTCTGATCACTACTCTCACCCCTTCACCCCGGCCTCTGAGGGGTCAACAGAGAATGTGGCCCTTTCCTCGTCCCCCAGCTTCCTGCAGCTGCCAGCCCCCGGGCCCCCTCCCCTCCTTCTAGCCCTTTCCAGCCTGCATCCTCAGCCTTGATTGGTCTGAACATCTACAAGTCCCAGTGAGAAGGCCAGGAGGCCCGTTTCCCATTTCTACTGCCCAAGGGGTGACCAGAGAGCCTGGGATTCCTTGTCTCCAGCCCTGTCCCTGCCACAGGCACACTGACACCCCATCTCCCACCACAGATCCAAAATTTGGGCTTGTTTCCCATTCACGGCGTGATGATGAAGATCACGGTGCCCGTGGCCACCCGTGCTGGCAACCGCCTACTGGTGCTCCGAGAATTCCTCACTGACCAGGTGAGCGGGTCCTGGGGCCAGCAGAGGCAAAGCCTGGGGTGGGACCCATCCCAGGCCCTCCGCCCCAGCCCCCACGGGAGGATGACTCAGGGACACACATGCTGAGGAGCTGGCGTGTCCCTCGAGCAGGAGAACACGACCTGTAACATCTGGGGGAACGGCACCGAGTACCGCCAGGCCCCGACCGAGGAAGACTTGAGCCGGGCCCCGCTACTGGTGAGTGTCCCCGTCCCCCGTCCTCAGTCAAACCATCCCTGTCAGCTGGTATGCATGGACGGTGGCCAGGCCCCAAACAAGAAGATTCTCTGCCCAAAGAGGCACAACGAGGGCAGGAGATGGAGGAGGGGTCACTAGAAAAGATCAGGCTAGCTTGCAGGAGAGAACGCCAGAGGCCAGGAAAAAAGCCAGCTGGGCCCCAGGGGGCCTCTCAGGGCTGCTCTTGCAGGGGGATTCCGCTACTCGTTCCCAGGCCCCACAGCCACTCTGGTGTCGCCCTCCATGCCCACATCCCACCTCGACTGCCCTCACTGCCCCACCCTGGGCTGTGGTTTTGTTTCCACCAAGCAAATGCCCCCCACAAAGCCATTCTGGGGCCACAACACTTGGCTGAGCACCAGGGCTGGGGTTGAGATGGAGAAGAACAGGGGCATCCTTTCCTTCCAGACATACTTCTTAGGGGCTGGAGCAATAGCACAGAGGGTAGGGCGTTTGCCTTGCACACGGCCGACCTGGGTTCGATTCCCAGCATCCCATATGGTCCCCCTGAGCACATCAGGAGTGATTCCTGAGTGCTGAGCCAGGAGTAACCACTGTGCATTGCCAGGTGTGACCCCCTCCCCCAGAAAAAAAAAAGACATACTTCTCTTTCTGTTTGAATGGCATTTTATTTTTATCGATTGAGGTTCTGTTACAGTACTTACAATACTGTTAGTGATGGTTTCTCATGCACAGAATTCCAACACCACCCCCGGCCCCAGTGTACCCACCTCCCTCCCACAAGGACCCCAATTCTCCGCCCTTTCCATCCTCCCTCAGCCCCAACTCAGTTGTGCGGGCCCGGTATTCCACTCTGTCGCCCTCAGCCCTGTGGCTCCCTTGCTTAAGTCCCACATACGAGAGATCATCCTGTGTCTGTCCCTCTCCTCCTGGCTGACTTCACTCAGCATGGTACCCACTCATTCAGACAGTCTTTGTTTTTGATGATTTGCATTCGTTAATTCGTTAAAATCCAGATCCCGGAACCGCGCGGCCGCATTCGCACGACATCTTATCAGAACTTTTTTTTTATGACATCTTATTATCTCATTCCTACTTTGGACAAACTTGCAGGCTATCGATTGTAGCCTGCCCACAGGGCGGAGTCTGGCAAATTCCCCGTGGCATACCAAATATGCCAAATACCAGTAACAATGATGGGTCTCATTCTCCTAAAGAGCCTTGAATATAATCTCAGGGCTAGGATGAAAGAGACGTTACTGGGGCCTGCTCGAGTCAATCGACGAATAACAGGATGATGAAAATGAAAAAATTCGTTAATAATGGTACAGTGCAGTCCTACAGCTTTACCATTCCATCTTTTTTAATTTAAAAAAATTGCTAATTTTATTTATAAAAAATTAATTTTATTAAAAATTTTAAATTTTAGGGGCTGGAGAGATAGCACAGCGGGTAGGGCATTTGCCTTGCACGCAGCCGACCCGGGTTTGATTCCCAGCATCCCATATGGTCCTCTGAGCACTGCCAGGAGTATTTCCTGAGAGCAGAGCCAGGAGTAACCCCTGTGCATCGCTGGGTGTGACCCCAAAAAGCAAAATAAAATAAAAATAAATTTTATTTAAAATTTATTGTTAAAAAATTTGTTAATTTAACAAAAAAATTTTAACATAGTATGACATCTGAGCTATGTTCCCAGACCTGTACCTCCAAGACAATGATAAACAGGACTGATAGGCCTAAATTAAGCCTCATTTTTAAAAAAAAAATTTTAATTTTTGATGATTACATGTGATATTTGCTATAGACTTTTTAATAAGTGCCCTTCATTCCTGCTCAGTTCATAGTTTTTATCAAAAACAGAAGTTGAGCACCAGAGAGATAGCACAGGAATATAAAAGCACTTGTCTTGTATGTGACCAACCCAGCACCCTGGATGGTCCCCTGAACCCCGCTAAGAGCAATCCCTGAGCACAGAGCCAGGAGTAAGACTTGAGCACTGTTGGTGTAGCCCCAAACCCCATCCCCCAAAAGTTGAATTCCTAAAATGCTTTTCTGCATCCGTTAAAGTCCTAGTTTAATGTTGCCCTTTAATCCCCTTGTATGGTGGACTTCCAAATGCTGAACCCAACTTCCATTCCGGGGAACCTCCCAGTAATGCATAACTTCAAATGTAGCGGGACTGGAGCGATAGTACAGTGGTAGGGCGTTTGCCTTGCATGCGGCCGAGCTGGGTTCGATTCCCAGCATCCTATATGGTCCCCTGAGCACCACCAGGAGTAATTCCTGAGTGCAAAGCCAGGAGTAACCCCTGTGCATCACCGGGTATAACCCAAAATAAATTTTTAAAAAAAAGGCAAAACAAAAAAAAAAAAACTTTAAATGTAGTATTGCACAGACTTTCCTTACCCAGCCCGCTGTCCCCCAGCACTCCAGCTGGTGTGTGCTCCCCTCCCCGCCTTATCTGTCCCTCTTCCCCTCAGAGCAAACGCTGGGCTGGTCAGGCCTTGAGCCCACCCTGGCTCACAGCCCCGGCTGCGCCCCAGAGCCCGGCTCTCCCCCATCCCGCTCCTCCCGCAGAATCACAGTAACGCTGACGTGGTGTCCATCAACTGCAACGTGAGGCTGGCCCCTGGCCAGGAGGTCAACTTCCACCTGTTGGGGGGTCTGTGGCTGAGCTCCCTAAAAGCAGTAAGTGGCCCCCAGGCAGGGGACCAGGGAGAGAGGGAGGGAGGGGGCTGGGGGCGCTGCCTGCTTTTGACCAGCACCTGCCTCCGCAGCTCAAGTTCAGATCCATGAAAATCACCATCCAGGCCACTCTGCAGAGGCACTTCCACAGCCCTTACATCTTCCGGGAGCACGAGCCCAGCCGCCAGGTGAGCCCCTCCCCGGCAGGTCACCCCTTCTTGGTTTTTGTGTTTGTTTGTTTGTTTTGCATTTTGGGTAATACCCGGCGATCCACAGGCTCATGCACTCAGGAATCGCTCCTGATGGTGCTCGAGGGACCATATGGGATGCTGGGAATCAAACCCGGGTTGGCCACATGCAAAGCAAACGCCCTACCCGCTGTGCTGTCACTCCAGCCCCATGGTCACCCCTTCTTCTGAGCCCCTGTCTCCCTGCTGGAGACAGGCCCAGGCCCAGAGCCTGGGAGCAGGAAGGGGACAGGGAAAAGAGGGGAGTGGGTCCTAAGAAGGTGTTGGCCAGTGCAGAGGGCTGAGGAGTGGGAAGAGGGGTGCAGCTCCAGACTCTGCCCCAGAGCAGCCCCCCAGGAAGGGTCTCTGTGGTCTAGACTGAAACCCCAGCCCAAGCCAGCATGGTGGGGGATCAGCGCTGGCATCACCCCACAGGGTCTCAAACAACCCATTACAAGGTTGTTTCCATAGTCTCACAACCTGCAAGGTTTCTGCTTTGAAGCAGTGATTTTCCTGTTTGTTCGTGTGGTTTTGGGGCCACACCCAGCGGTGCTCAGGGCTCATGCCTGGAGGAATCAGGGAACAAGATGGAACTCAGGTGGGCCACATTCGCCGCCCTACCCACTGTGCAGTGGTTTCTAGCCGGGGAGGCTGGGCGTGGAGGACCTCACTCACCTCCAGGCTCGACTGAGGACCGAAATCTGCATCCGTGAGGAGGAGTGATGCTCAGTGCCTGGGCGCCCTGCAGACGGGGTGAAATAGACTCTCACGCCCCAGCTGACTTGACCAGGGACTGAGTAAGGGGTAAAGCTTCCTGAGGGTGGTGGTTTCCCCAAGCTGGGTCTGGACAAGCCCTGGCTTCCTGCATGTCTGGTGTGGGACACTGCTGCCCCCTACTGGTGGCTCCCCAAACCACCCGCACAGACAGGGCGGAAATGCCAAGCCTTAAGGAAACACCCAAATGCCCATCACTGGCAGCTGGGGACAGACCAAGCGAGAAGCAGCACCTGAGAAGGCTCAGAAGCTGCAGTTGGGGAACCCACCAACTAATCAATCCTTGGCACCCCCTGTGGTACCGAGGCCCACCTGGAGTGATCCCTGAGGACAGAGCCAGGAGTAAGCCCTGAGCGTTGCTGTTCATGGCACAAAAACAAAATTAAAGACTTTAAAATAGCGTAGTGAAGCTGGTGTCTCCGGGATCAGGGTGCCTGAGCACGCAGTAGAGAATACCCCAAGCTCCCAAGATCGCAGACCTGACTGTGCTCAGGGAGCACTCCACCTTTTAAAGCAAACACCCCCCCCACCCCCCTGCCCATGGTCCCAGCCCGGTCCACTCGGAGGAAAGTGCTGCAGATGGAGCAAGGACAGAACTGGCCGGTGGTTCATGTGCTTGCCTGGCAGTTCTCAGAACCCAGAGGCCCCTCCTCCCTCCACCCCCTCCCCTCGCAGCTGGGCACCCCCAGCAAGATGGCACTCAAGGCAAGCTTGAGACCTTGAGCATTGGGAATCCCACAGCAAGGGGCCCTCTGAGCCCCGGATCCCAAGTGAGGGCACAGAAATGTAAAGGACAGAGACGACACAGCCTGTCTCAAAGTTTGGGAGCAGCCAAGAGCGAAAAGGGACAGGAGGCAGGGAGGGACAGCACAGGGGTCAGGGCGGCCTGCAGCAGAGTGGCACCAGCGGCCTGCTCTGGTCCCCCCACCCCACCCCCGCCGGCCCACAGGTCACCCTGGAGATCTCCAAGCAAGAGGACTGGCAGATCCCCGTGTGGATCATCGTGGGCAGCACGCTCGGGGGGCTCCTGCTCTTGGCCCTGCTGGTCCTGGCGCTGTGGAAGGTGAGGGCGCTGAGGGGCGGGACGGCGGGCGGCAAGCGCGGGCCCAGGTCTCTGGCCCCTGTCCCTGCCCTGTCGAGCTGGTGAGCCACGCAGTAGGGGCTCAGGGGGCTGCAGGAGTGGGGGGGGGGGAGCGCGGGGGCTGCGGGGTGTGGGGCACGGGGGATGCCGGGATTGAGAGGTGCGGGGTACGGGGCTGCGGGGTGCAGGGCTGCAGGGCTGCGAGGCCAGGCGGCTGCGGGGGCTGCGGGGTGCGGGGCGTGGGGGCTGCAGGGAGTGCGGAGACTGCGAGGAGCCGAGGCTGCGGGGTTGCGGGGCGGTGTGAGGTTAAGGGGCTGCGAGGCTGTGGGATGCGGGGGCGGCGGGGTGCGGGGGGCTGCGGGGCACAGGAGCTGCGGGGGTACGAGGCTCAGGGCTGCAAGACGCAGGGACTGCGGGGCGCCGGGGCGGCGGGGTTGCGGGGGCTGCGGGACCGCGCTGCCAGTCTGCGCCCCCGACCGGCGGCCTCGCTCCCGGCAGCTCGGCTTCTTCGAAAGTGCCCGGCGCAGGAGGGACGCCCACGCGGACCCCGGCCCCAAAGAGCTGGAGTGAGGCTCCCAGGAGCTGCGAGCGAGTCACGCGGCCCAGGACAGCGTCGGAGGCCGGCCGGGGCCCGGCGCGAGGCCCGAGCACGGACGCACGGGCGAGCACTCTGCGCGGGCACAGGGACCCCCTCGGCCGGCCCCTCGCCCCTCGCCAGCACCCTGGGCCGCGGGCAGCGCCGGGGCCCCGAAGGGCCGAGCTCTGCGGTTCGGGCTCCGCCCGGCCCGCCGCCCCGCCGCGGGGGACACCGGCCCCCAGCCTCCTGGATGAACCCGGGCCCCAGCCAAGGCTCCGCGATGACAGCCGCGCGAGGGCGCAGGCGGGATCTGCAGCCCCGCGGGGGACAGTCCCCGAGGCCCCGCCCGGCCTGCGCGGCGGGGGGCGGGGGGGGCCTGCCCAACCCCCCTGCCAGCACACAGCGCCCCTCACTCCCGCTCGGGCCCGGACTCTGCAGCACTGCCGGGGCGAAGGGGCCCCACTCCGCAACGCACTGGTTGGTCAAAGCTACCCGGCCGGGGCAGCTTGGCGTGGGCTGCGGGGACAGACCTGCTGGCGCACGGGACAGACGGTCCCACCGAGGCCGGCACCCGAGGACAGGAGGCACACCCGGTGCCCAGCTGAGTAATTTATGCCTTAAACTTATTCTGAGGTAGAAATAAAGGGGGGTAGGTGTCTGTCTCCCTGTTAACAAAGACCCGTCTCTGCTGTCCCCAGTTTTTAACAAAAAAAAAAAAATTTCCGCTTTTTGGGTCACACCCGGTAATGCACAGGGGTTACTCCTGGCTCTACAACTCAGGAATTACTCCTGGCGGTGCTGGGGGCGGGGGTGGGGTGGAGGGACCATATGGGATGCTGGGAATCCAACCCAGGTCAGCCCTGTTTAAATCAGCCCCGGGGCTGCAGTGCAGAAGAAAAGGGGCCCAACAGGGGCCCGCCAGGAGTGATCCCTGAGCACCACTGTGACCCCCAAAACCAAAAAAATAAAATAAATGAAATCAGCCCACATCCAGCTGCCTTTCCTGCCTTTCCGTGGACAGAGCACTTCTCGGGGAGTGGATGGGGTGCCTCCGTCCAGTGCTCTGGTGCCATGGAGGGGCTTGGCTGTGTCTTGCGTCTCACTTGGGCCTTTCAGGCATTGTCTGGCCTGGAGGGCTACCTCCAGAGATCTGGTGCTCAAGGTCTCGAGCCCAGGACCACTCAAAGGGCTGAGCACTGCCTGGTGTGCAGGAGGCCCGGTCCAGAGCACAGAGCTAGGAGCAGTCCCTAAGCAGCTGGGTGTGACCCAGAACCCCCAAACACTCTCCCTCCTTCTACCACCACTGCCCCTCCTTCCATCCTTGGGCCAGTCTGTATGGTTGAGCCCCTAGTCCCAACCATAGTTCCCCCCCACCATTACCCTCCCCCCATAGTTCCAGCCCCCTCTCCCGTCTTCAGGCTTGCGTTTCAGCCATCACCCCCTTCCACTCCGACTCTGAGGCTTGCTCTGGACCGTCTCCCCTCCGTCTGGTGCCACCGCAATGTCAGGGAGCCAGAGCACCCTTGGAATGGCCTGATCCTTGTGTTCCCCCACAGCGGCATCAGATTCCTGGTTCCACAGCAGGACACATCAGATTCCTGGGCCGGGCAGCTTCGCTCTGGTCACATCAACGATCTGGCGCTTCCTTGGGGAGCAAGAGTGGAGAGGAAGTGACTCCTTCTGGGAATCGCCTTTCTCGAGGGGTAAAAGCACTTGCCTTACATGCAGCTGACCCAGATTAGATCTCCGGCACCCCTAGAGCCTCCTGAGCCCACCTGGAGTGATCCCTGAGCACAGAGCCAGGAGTCAGCCCTGAGCACTGCTGGGTGTGGCCCAAACACACACATACACACACGCACCCACAATTAGAAAGAAACTTCAATCCCCGACCCTTGTCATTGTGCTCCACCAAGGGAGTGGTCTGGCCAAAGGCTCTTCAGAGTGATGACCTCACGTTCAGTGATGACCTCAGGCCGAGGGAACATGCATCTCAGTCACAGGTAGTGAACCCCGGGCCCACCCTCACAAAAATAGTGCATCGTTTGACTTAGTACCCCATCTCTGGTCAGCCCCTTGGACCTGAGAAATTAACTGCCATTGCAAACACATTGTACCTGCAGGCCAGATACCACCCACAGCTCACCTGACTGTGACCTCTGACCCTCCCTCCTCTCTCCCCCCACCAGCCTGTACCAAGAATGAAATGTCAAAGGTTTTGTGGGAGGCAAACAGATAGCAGTCACGTGACCTGGGAGTGCCTTGCCCTGGCATTCTGATTACATGGCTGAGAAAGGGGCCAGGATGTCTTTTTTGGGTTTTTTGTTTTTTTTTCTTTTTTGGGTCACACCCAGCGATGTTCAGGGGGTTACTCCTGGCTTTGCACTCAGGAATTACTCCTGGCAGTTCTCAGGGGACCATATGGGGTGCCAGGGATCGAACCCAGGTCGGCCGCATGCAAGGCAAACACCCCACCCACTGTACTATCGCTCTGGCCCCAGAATGTCACTTTTCTTTACTGGTTCTCGTAGCAACTCTGTGTGCTGAGAGCTCAGGAAGCCGCAGGTGAAAATACAAGTGACGTACAGGTCTTTAGGAGCGAAGGCCCCAGGCTGGTGCTACCTGGCTCACGGGGCTCTGGCCCGGAGTCTAGGAAGATTCATGGTCTGGGTTTGAAGTGGGGCTTGCTGTGGATCTGACCCAGTTCTCTGGGAGAGGGCCTCTGGGAGGGGTGGGGGGCCCTGGGTGATGGGGGAGGGGGGTCAGCCTCAAAAGCAATTCTAGCATTTGAGGCAGGCAACGCAGAATGCAACCTCAAATCAACATGACGGATCGGCCGTTCCCATAGATATCAGAAGCAAATGACGCTACTGAAGAAAATAAGCCTACACCAGTTTAGTGTTGGAAAGGCACCATCAGCAACCCCAGACACTGAAGGCTGCTAGCTCTTCCATCCATCTGCCCAAGGATCTGGGTGTCAGCAGGAAAATCTGCTTGCAGCCAGTTAGCCACACAGCCCCCAGGGGGCGCTGTGAGGACTGGTCAACAGGTGCCAGATGAAGTTGGAGGCTCCCTGGTGGAGAAGGGGCCCCAACACGGGAGTTGGGAGATGAGATATGCTGGTGTCCTAGCCGACTTACTGTTGGCTCCCCTGGGGGAAGGGGGCAGGCCTCAGGCTTCCTGCTGTGGGCAGTTTCTGGGGGAAGTGGAAATCTATTAGTCCTGCCCCAAAGTTCCAGCCAGCCGAGAACTGCAAAGACAAAATCCCAGCAAGGGTGATCCAACTTCCTGGCATGAGGGATGCACGGATATGTGTGCATGAAGGACAGACTGTGTCTCTTGTGCGAGTGAGGCCCAAGGACCCTTCCATTAGAACCAGACACCAAACTTCCACTGTAGAACTCAGCATGACGTCAGAATTCACTGACGGGCAGAGTCAACAGACCGGAGCAATGATTCTGTTTTCTCTAAACCTCAGCGTCGGTTTCTTGAAAGGTGCAGCCGTCTCAGATGTCCTGGGTGATGAGTCAGCCTATGAAAGGGGCAGCTGTCCATAACAAATACTAAAAAGGGCTGGAGTGATAGTGGGCCTCAGTCGTGGGCTCCAGGCACTGACTGCGGCGAGTGGGACCCCCTGCTCCCACATGCTCAGGACACACCACGCAGACAAAGGGAGGCAGATCAGAAACTGGATTTTGCCAGTTGACCAACAAGCTGAGATTCTGTGAAACCCCCTAAAATTTGCATCTCATATTGAGACTTGCTAGGTCAAGTATCGGAAATACATCACTGCCAGTATGGAAACAGAGGAAGCCTCGGCTGGAAACTGCCCAGAGGGGTGCTGATGTGAGCTTCTCCAAGGGCAGCCCTTGGAGAGCACTGTTCAGTGGGTCAAGACCCAAGGGCAAGCTGGACACACCCTTGGTTCTTCTGGGACCTTTTTTTTTTTTTTTTGCTTTTTTTATTTTGAGGTCATACCTAGTGATGCACAAGGGTTACTCCTGGCTCTGCACTCAGGAATAACTCCTGAAAGTGCTCAGGGGACTATATGGGATGCTGGGAATCGAACCCGGGTCAGCTGCGTGCAAGGCAAACGCCCTAACCGCTCTGCTATTGCTCCAACCTCTTCTGGGACCTTTGATGAGAAGTCATTCTGGGCCTCCTTCCTCAACTACAGAGCAAGAGGGCTGTACAAACAGTGAGACTCTGTCATGAGACTGGAGCGGCTACCCCAGATCTAAACTAGAAAGAGCACACTGCGGAAGTGCTCCAGTCCTACCACTTAATACTCTCCTAGTACTCTCAAGCAATATGATGAAGTATAAGAAAGACAAGGCCTTGGGGTGGGAAGGTAGAGTTCAGGGATCACTCCTGGTGGGGTTCAGAGGACAGAGGTGCCAGGAGTCACACCAAATTTGGCTGTGTGCAAGAGCCCTGCCCACAGTACTAACATTCCAGTCCCCCAAAAATTTTAAGACAATTTTAAATAAATTTACCTTTGTATAAAAGTTAACATGTGAAGGCATAGATAATGGGGGGGGGAAGCTCTAATATACAATGTAACTCCCCCCAAATTCATCACAATTACAGGAACATATTGGCAAAACCTTCACACACACACACACACACACACACACACACACACACACACACACAACATTGCCGCAAAGGGCTGGAGCGAGTAGCACAGCGGGTAGGGTGTTTGCCTTGCATGCAGCCAACATGGCCAACCCGAGTTTGATTCCTCCGCCCCTCTCAGAGAGCCCGGCAAGCTACTGAGAGTATCTCGCCCGCATGGCAAAGCCTGGCAAGCTCCCTGTGGCGTACTCGATATGCCAAACACAGTAACAAGTCTCACATTACTGGGCCCACTCGAGCAAATCGATGAACAAAGGGAGGCAGTGATACAGTGATTGCCCCAGAGCCAGGGAGGCCCCCTGAACTTCATAGATCAAGGCAAGTGCTCTACCACTATCCACCTCCTGGCTGCTCTCTCTCTCTCTCTCTATATATATATATATGTATATTGCTTTATTTTGGGTCCCACCAGGCGATTATCAGGGGTTACTCCTGGCTCTGCACTCAGGAATTAATCCTGGCAGTGCTCAGGG